CGAATATGTTTGCATGGGAAAAGAATGGTTTATGCACCAAAAGGTTATCTGGTTGTCTGTGGGTAGCTGGAATTAAGGGTGACAGTTTCATCTTTGTGCGTTACATTTTTTTCAATTATATTGGATGTGTATTGCTTTTATTTTTATATTGCTTTTATGTAAACTTTTTTGAAAGTTAATGATATTTTAAAATTCCCCAGTGTGTATTTCTATATAGGTGATTCCCCAAAAACCTGTTTTGTTTTTCTCTCCACTCTGTTAAGGAGAGTCTTTCTTAATGCCTAATGCTTATTTAGGAAGGATGAACTAAGCCGCTCACCATGCACATCAAAGATTCACTCATACCATTTATAAGATTAAATCTTCCAGGTTTCTCAGGGAATCTTTTCTTCTCAGTATTTAGCACCCCCTTCCTTCTCTTTTCTATGGAAACAAACCTTTTATTATTATCCCCGGGAATATAGTGACATTTACTTTTCCTTTTTTATTGTAATAAAATATAGATAACATAAAATTTACCATTTTAACCCTTTCTAAGTTTACAGTTCTGTAGTATTAAGTAAGTGCATTCACATTGTTCTGCAACCATCACCACCCTTCATATCCAGAGTTTTCATCTTCCAAAACTGAAACTCTGTGCCCAATAAACGCCAGCTCCTCGTTCTTCCTCCTCCCAGGCCCTGGCAACCACTGTTCTACTTTCTGTCTCTGAATGTTGCTACCCTGGGAGGCTCATTTAAGAGGAAACATACAATATTTGTCCTTTTGTAACTGACTTATTTCACTTAGCATAATATCTTCAAGGTTCATCCATGTTGTATCAGTATGTTAAAATTTCCTTTCTTTTTAAGGCTTAATAATATTTTGTTGTATGTACATTTTTTTTAATCCCTTCATCTGTCAGTGAACACTTGGATTGCTTCCACTTTTTGACTGTTGTGAATAATGCTGCTTTGAACATGAGTGTACAAATACCTGTTCAGGTCCTGCTTTCACTTCTTTTGAGTGTATACCCAGAAGTAGGATTGCTGGGTCATATGGTAATTCTGTGTTTAATTTTTTGAGGAATTGCCATATCGTGTTCCACAGTGGCCGTACCATTTTACATCCCACCAGCAGTGCTCACAGGTTCCACTTGCTTCACATCCTTGCCAACACTTACTTTCTTTTTTAGATAATAGCCATCCCAAGGAGTATGAGATGGCATCTCATTGTGGTTAGATTTGTATTTCCCTATGACTAGTTATGTTCAACATCTTTTCATGTGTTTACTGGCCACTTGTATATATTCTCTGGAGAAATGTCTGTTCAAGTCCTTTGCCCATTTTTAATTTTTTTTTGTTATAACATAGGAGTTCTTTATATTGTGAATATCAGTCCTTCGTCAGATATATGATTTGCAAATTTTTCACCTATTCTATGGATTTCTGTTTCACTCTGTTGATAGTGTCCTTTGCACAAAGTTTTTAATTTTGATCAAGTCTAACTTATCTATTTTTTTCTTTTGTTGTCTATGCTTTTGATGTCATAGCTAAGAAGTCATTGCCAAATCCAATGTCATGAAAGTTTTCCCCTATGTTTTCTTCTAAGAGTTCCTAAGGGTTTTTGTTTTTGTTTTTGAGGAAGATTAGCCCTGAGCTAACATCCGCCGTCAATCCTCCTCTTTTTGCTGAGGAAGACTGGCCCTGAGCTAACATCCATGCCCATCTTCCTCTACTTTATATGTGGGACGCCTGCCAAAGCATGGCTTGACAAGCAGTGTGTAGGTCCGCACCCGGGATCTGAACCAGCAAATTACGGGGCACCAAAGCAGAATGTGCGAACTTCAGCGCTGTGCCACTAGGCTGGCCCCCCACTAAGGGCTTTTTGTTTGTTTGTTTGAAGATTTTATTTTTCCTTTTTCTCCCCAAAGCCCCCCGGTACATAGTTTTATAGTTTTAGTTGTGGGTCCTTCTAATTGTGGCATGTGGGACGCCACCTCAACATGGCTTGATGAGCAGTGCCATGTCCTCGCCCAGGAGCCGAACGGGGGAAACCCTGGGCCGCCGAGTGGAGTGTGCAAACTTAACCGCTTGGCCATGAGGCTGGCCCCTGTTTGTTTTTTTTGAGGAAGATTAGCCCTGAGCTACCATCTGCCACCAATCCTCCTTTTCTTTTGCTGAGGAAGATTGTCCGTGAGCTACCATCCATGCCCATCTTCCTCTACTTTATATGTGGGACGCCTGCCACAGCTTAGTTTGATAAGAGGTGCGTAGGTACACACCTGGGATCTGAATCAGTGAACCCTGGGTTGCTGAAACAGAGCATGCGCACTTAACAGCTGCACCACAGGCCAGCCCCCCTAAGGTGTTTTTTTTTTTTTTTAATTCTGTATTCTATACATTTCTAAGCTGCCATCTAAAATCTCCCCACCCCCACTGGTTTAAATAGTTACAATGGAGATCTATTTGTCATCTTTTAATGTTGATGTTAAAAAATAAAACTATTACATCAGACTTCTACAGGTCCACTGGTCTAAAAACCATAGTTATTTGATACCTGTCTTGGAACAGTAAAAAATAATACATGAACAAGCGCTTTTAGTGGTCAGAAATTTTACCTTCATCGTTTTTTTCCCCTTTTAATTTGTATTTCCAATTCATTTAATGTACAGCATTTTATCTTGATACATTTGTATGCTTGAAAGTCATTTATTAATTATCATTTCATACTTGTAAAACAAAATTTGACTTTTTTTCCATTTTTCTGTTATTGTAAGGCTCCAAGGAATAAAATTTTTATGTATTGAATTATCACAGTTATTAATATTCAATTGATCAAAACAGCGAAAGCATTACCTATTTTGATTCAAAATGATTAAACGTAGAAAGTAAGATTTCATTAGGATTTCATGTGGTTGAGTTCCCCTCCTCACTCAGTTAGTTCATGGATCTGTGGGTGAGTCTTACTTATTGCTGAAAACGTTTGGCATCAGTTCCATTGTTTTTATAAATGTAAGCACTGAGAACATTGTTCATATAAATAAGTAGATAGTAATGAAGGGAGTTTTGTTTAGCAGTGCCTCGCAATTTTTCTGGCTTTTATGCTGAAAATCACTTGCCAAAAATTATTTTTAATGGTCTTTTAGCTTGATTAGGTCTCCTTTCAATTTTCTTGAAAGCAAATAATTGGAAACCATCTAACAAAGGAAAGGATTTGTTGCCTATTTTGGTCAGTCTTTTTTTTTTGTGAGGAAGATTGTTGCTGAGCTAACACCTGAGCCCAGTCTTCCACTGTTTTGTATGTGGGGGATGCTGCCACAGCATGGCTTGATGAGCGGTGTGTAGGTCCACATCCAGGAGCCCCACTCACAAACCCCAGGCCACTGAAGTGGAGAACACAAACTTAACCACTACCCCATTGGGCCCGGTGCCAATTTCTTAACACCTACACTAGTGTTTTTCTTTCTTTGGTTTTAGGAAGTGTTTAATGCCTTGAGGCAGTCCACGATAGTAAGATCCAGAATGAGTGAGAGATATGACTTTGTTTTGTAAAATGAGAGAAAGGTAAATGAAAGAGGATGCCTTGTGTTAAGGTGCCTTCACAGGCAGATGAGTTTTAAGGAAAAGTACATATGAAAGTTGAGAATCTGGAAATAGATTCCCTTAATATTTGCCTTGGAAAGTCTTATGTTACACTACACTGATCTAAGATGTAGATGGTTGTTTTAAAGATAATATACCTGCCGGGGCTGGCCCCGTGGCCGAGTGGTTAAGTTCGCGCGCTCCGCTGCAGGCGACCCAGTGTTTCGTTGGTTCGAATCCTGGGCTCAGACACGGCACTGCTCATCAAACCACGCTGAGGCAGCGTCCCACATGCCACAACTAGAAGGACCCACAACGAAGAATATGCAACTATGTACCGGGGGGCTTTGGGGAGAAAAAGGAAAAAAATAAAATCTTTAAAAAAATAAATAAATAAATAAAAAAGTAATATACCTACCTAAAAGTGTTGATATTTTTTTCAAACATCCTTAAATGTAGGTACACTGATAAAAGTGGTAACAAATCATACACGTCACTTAATATTTTATGAAGTACTTGTTTAATTCTTACACAGATGCTTGTATAAATATCCTTATTTTACTTGTGAACCAATCAAATATTCTGCCCAAAACTAATGACAGAATGTCCTGATAAAACAATGAAATGACCGAATAAAGCCAGCCTAAGGTGGGGGGCACTGTTTCTAAAACACTGCCTGTTTTTCTAAAATTGTCAATCTTCAGAGTAGGAATGCATGAATTAGAGTTGATAGGTACTATTGCCTTCTCTTCTAGTGTAAAAGTATTCTTTATATGATTTCAGAGAGATGTGTATGAACTTTTGAATACTTTATGACAGAACCTCTGTAGCTCATAAAGCAGCCCACTGACTTAGAGAACCTCTGGTCTATTGAGCAAAAATAAAGTTACATGGAGTTTCTGTGGTTTTACAACAGATTAACTTACCTAAAGCCAGTCTCTGAATTCAGTTGTTTCATTATCTGGGTGAAATAGATAGTAATAACTCCTTTTTGTCATCCAAGCCAAAATTACAATTCTGATGGTCCAGTTATTTTAAGGTTGCTGCCAGTGGTTGCATGGCAGACAACGAATGGTGTGTGTATCTTTCTAATTTCTGTAGCCTTAAAATAAAGGTGTACTTACTGTTATGGACTATTACAACTTTTTATCACTAGTGGAAAACTAAACTCTCTAGACAACTTATTATGAAATAGAACTATTCATAATAGTTCATAAATAAATATATTAGCCATTTCATAGACGTTGCTAATATTTATCATAAAATGATTGTTTATTCTAAATATTAACTTTCGTAGCTCCCTAGAGAGATGCAAAATGATTCTGCACAAATAGCAGTTGTTACAAATTTATAATCAGAGAAAACTCCTAGGAGGAGTTTAACTTGGGAATTTTGACTAAAGAAAAACTTAGATGGCTTTCTTAATTTTTCTTAAAGGATGGGTCTTCAGTTAAGGAAGTTGAAACCTACCACCGGACACGTGCTTTAAGATCTTTGAGAAAAAATGCACAGAATTCTTCAGGTTCTAGTTTTGAAAAGAATATGGAAATAACGGAGAAACATGCTAATGGCAGGCATTTTACAAGGTAATACAAGATGGTTGAATGCTAATTTAAAATAGTTTTAAAGTAATAATTTAGAATTTGCATTTGATTTTTAAGTGTATTCTTGGCCAGTCATCAAGATTTCAGGGTTGTAAAATGTTATTTATTTAAGTGAAATTACCACAAATGAATATTATTGAATTAAAAATGTAATATGTACACAGTCGGATTTGTTTTTATTGTCCAAAGATGATGTTTTTGATGTGCGTGAATGCAGCTAACAACGTTGGTTGATACGGGATCAGGTCTCTTAAGTACTTGAGTATCTAAAGAGACTGTGACTGTAACTTTCTTATGATATGTGGTTCTGTTTCGTAGTCTGTCTAGAGCTTTTATTCAAAATAGTAGTTATATTTCTGATTGCTTGCTACCAAGTTTTTCATCAGTTCTGAGTCTCTCTTGAATTTCTCTGTGTTGGTGTGCTTATAAAGCAGTCTTCACGTAGAGGCAGAATGTGGGGTTTTTTTGACATGTCTAATGAGACTAGATGTTTTATACATATTTAAACTTTGTTTCCCAAGAAGCATGAGGTAGGTAGCATGAATTCCATTTTAATACTCCAGGAGTTAGTTTCAGTGAATTAAGTAGGTAGTTCATGCAAGTTGGGTTTGTTTGGTTCAGGACAGATTTAAATCTAAGTTTAATTAGCTCAAAACCTTCACTTTTTCCCCCACTTTGGTGGTCCTAACATAAATGGGAGGAAGTGCCAATTAGAATAAAATTTGTTTGATGAAATAATTGTTTTTACATTAATTCTTTTCATAAATTGCTCATGACTTAGAAGACTAGAACTCTCCTACTTTTTTTTATATGTTTACCAGATTTTTTTTTAATTTTGAGATTGGTACCTGAGCTAACATCTGTTACCAATCTTCTTCTTCTTTTTTTTTTCCCCCTTGGTTGTCTTCTCCTCACCAAAGCCTGCCAGTACATAGCTGTATATTCTAGTTGTAGGTCCTTCTGGTTGTGCTATGTGGGATGCCGCCTCAGCATGGCCTGGTGAATGGTGCCATGTCCACACCCACGAACCAAACCAGCAAAACCCTGGGCCACCGAAGCAGAGCACGCAAACTTAAGCACTCGGCTAGAAGGCCAGACCTGAGAACTCTCGTACTCTTAAACAGAATTTAGATTTTGATTTTGATTTTGTGTAGCAGGCTTTCCAGATAAGTGAGGTTATGCCCTTTTAAGTTTTGCATTAGTGTTTCTTTTTCAGTTACTTGGTCTTTTATTATATATTTTTAAATTTGCATCTTATTTCGTCCATTATTTATGGAGTGTTTACTGTTGTATTTCAGGGAATCCAAGATAACAGCAGTTGAAACGTACAAAATTATTTTATAAGATGGTAAAAAAGAAAAAGTAGTGAAAGTTAAACTACAACATGCCATCTCTTATAAGACATCCCAATTTCAGAGACATTAAAATGGGAGAAATGTACAACTTTTAGAATCAGTGAAATACAATTTAAGCTACCCCAGTATTTCTGAAACTTGAAGTCTTCTTGGGGTGGGGGGGGAGTGGGCCATGAATTCTCTGTGAGAATTTTGAAGTTTGTTTTATGATCTGAAGAAAAAAATAAATATTCTGGGTCATCTAAATTGCTACCCTACAGAGAACAGCCATAAAATTCCAGGCCCTACATTTGTTTTTACAACTAAATTGGCACCAAGTAATACTGCTTTAGTTATCTCAGGTTTGTGAGATAACAAAATCTGACCATAATACATAAATGACATGTCTGTTCTAAGAGAAAGCCACGTGATGTGATGTCATGACAAGCTGTTCAAATGAAGGTTTAGAGCACTTCAGATAAAGAGAAGTATGAATTGAATCATCACAATACGCAACAAACAGGATACATAACATACCAAACTCAAGAGAAATTGATAGCAGTCAGTACCACATTCACGCAGCAAATGGCTGTTTTGTTTCAGCAAAACCTCATGTTGTATTAATATTTTTGTTGGTGGTTGGTTTTATTGTATAAAACATAAATGAATTTATATCTAGTTTGGCTTATAGATAGACATAAAAGAATTAATGTTGGAAGTCCTGTAAGTTTTTACCTTTAGAAGGATGTGTACATTATTTCAAGTTTGTGAAACATTGTGCTGGGCTTTATGCTTGAAAAGTATTAAAGAAGTGTATTAAAATAAGTGCTTTTTAATCTGGATTTAAAGATGAGTGACTTGATATTTTTTAATTAGATTCCTTCTAAAATATATTCAATTCCTACCTTTTCAATTAATTATTTTTAAATAACTTTATTGAGATATAATTCACATATCATAAAATTCATAATTTTAAAGTGTAATTCAGTGGTCTTAGAATATTCACAATATTGTGCAACCATCACTACTATCTAATTTGAGAACATTTTCGTCACTCCAAAAAGAAACTGTTTTTTCTTTCATTTGGTACAATATTTTGAAGGTTCGTCTGTATTAGAATATCTTGCCAGCACTTCATTCTTTTTATTTTATTTCCAAATAAGATTCCATTGTGTGAATATATCACATTTTGTTCATCCACTTATTAGTTCATGGACATTTGGATTGTTTCTACCTTTTGGCTATTATAAATAATGCTATGAACATTGGTGTGCAAATTTTTGTGTGGACGTATGATTTTGATTTTTTTGGGTCTATACCTAGGAGTAGAATTGCTAGGTCAAATAGTAACTCTGTTTTAATGTTGAGGAAGTGCCAAACTTTGGTTCAAAGCAGCTGTACCCTTTTACATTCCCACCAGCAATGTGTGAGGGTTCCAGTTTCTCCACAGCCTCGCCTACACTTGTCATAGTCTCTCTTTTTGGTTTTAGCCATTTTAATTGGTGTGAAGTATTGCATTGTGGTTCTGATTTGCATTTCCGTGATGGTTAATAATGTTAAGTATCTTTTCATGTGCTTATTGGCCATTTGTATGTCTTCTGTGGAGAAGAATTCCTATCTTAAAAAAAAATCTCTGTATTCAGATCATTATTACAGGGACTATTTATTATTTTATATAATGATAACATCAGGATCTGTTTGTATAAGAATTATGTAAAGTGGCCTTTAATATTTTTGAATTCTGCTTTGTGTAGTTTTCCTGTTTCTTATTAGGGTGACCCTTTTTGCTGTTGCCAGTTTGCCTGACTGAAGTAATCTCTTTACTTCCTTCCTTCCTGTGTTTTCCCCCCACTTTGTTTTCAAGCTATTTGGGGCTCAAAAACAAGGGGACCAAGACTGTTAAACAGAAAGATTTGAGTAACTATGCCTTGAGGGCAAAATCTGTATTTCTTTGGTGCTAGGGTTCTTAACTAGAGTCCAGTAATCATGGTTTTCAGGGGGCACATGAAACTTCCAAAATAATGTTTAAACTTGTATGTGTATATGCAGTTTTCTAGGGAGAAGAGATCGATAGCTTTCATCAGATTTGCAGGTGTTAACAGAAGTCCAGCCACCTGTTTTTGTAAATGGAATACAGCCATGCCCATTCATTCTGTCTGTGACTGCTTTTCCACTTCAGTGTTAGAGTTGTGTGTGTAGTTGTAACACAGACTTTATGGCTCACAAGCCTAAAATATTTACTATCCACTTAAGAAAAAGTTTATCAACCCTTGCAAAGGGAAAAGGTGCCCCCACTTCCCCTACAGGCAAAAAAAAAAGAAAAACACTGCTTTAGTCATTGTGTCCCTACCATCTTAACAGAGGCCTGGTTTATAAAAGTGTGGACATACATGGTATATAGGCAGAGGCTCCTTTATGAGAAAAGTCTATGAGCCTGTGAACAAACTAGGCCTTCACCTGTAGATGGATTGCTCCAAGGGTTTTGATTTTGTTCTTGGTTCTTATCTGTGTTCCAAGAAAGGGAAGGAATTAGTGATGACTTACATTGTTATGAGGATGCATGAGTTAACTCTTCTGGATAAGATGGTTTCTTTTTATTTTAAAGTATCACATTTGAAATTTCACATGTAAAACCAGCCCAGTTGCAAATAGCCTGATACATGGGTTGCTTAATAGGTATAGCCTATCCAAGTATGGAAAATTAAATCCTTAAAAATAAGTTAATAAGACATAACTATTTTGTTTGCTCAGTGGAATTTTGGAAAAAGGTAAGGGTAGGGTACCTTTTTTTAAACCTTTCCGATTCAGTAGATTCTGTCTGCCAGTTTGTAGGTAGGACATCTGATTCATAAATGGGATTGTTTCTACGTGTACATGTTAATGCATGTCGTGTAAAGACTGTGGCCAGCAAATGTTCTTAGAAGGAAATTAACATGTCACTAAGGGACATTAGTTTTGTTTATAGTTATAAATTCCTCAATGATGTGGGACCATTATATCCCTATGGCATAAAACACATTGACTTGTTTTTCCTCAATGCTTAGTTCAATTATACCTAAACACTTAGGCTAAGGATTTCGTTTCCTGTTTAGGTAAGATACTTTCATTTGATTAATTCTGTTTAGGTTCTCAGACTGTTTAACTGTAACTTATATTATACAAGCAGAGATATTCTGAAGCTGTTTTTTAGGTTTTTAGGTAGCTACGAGTATTTACTCTCCAAACTGATTTAACTTTTTGTCATAGTTTGGAGTATTAGGAAATGTAGGATTTAAAATTATTTTGAATTATGTAATGTATTTTTCTCATATAGGCAGTTGGCCAGACAGCAGGCTGATAAAAAAAAAGAAGAGTGCAAAGAAGGTAAGTAATGTTAAAGGCCTTCCACATTTTAAAAACATGTAATTAATATTTTGTTTATAGGTGTATTGAGGTACATACAAGAAACTGTCCATATTTAAAGTGTACACATTTTTTGGTTTTGACATAAGTATATGCCATGAAGTCATCACCACAATAAGATAGTAAAGATAACCATCACCTCCCAGAATTTCCTCAGGCCCCTTTATAATGCCTCCTGGCTCCTTTTGCTTCTCTCCGTGGCCTCTACCCACTAAGATTCCTGAGCAACCACTGATCTCCTTTCTGTCACTATAGATTAGTTTCCGTTTTTCTGGAGTTTTCTATAAATCGAATTATACAGCATGCATTCTTTTTTGTCTGGCTTTTATTCAGCATAAATTACCTTGAGTATCATCCATGTTGTTGCTTTTTGTTACTGAGTAGTATTCCACTAAATGGATATACCACAATTTGTTTTGGTTTTTTTACAGCTTTATTGAAATATAATTGAAAGTTTAAGGTGTACAACAAATATTAATTTAATACACTTATATATTGCAAAATGATTACTACCATAGCTTTGGCTTACACCTTCATCATGTCACATAATTACCATTTGTTTTTTGTGGTGAGAACATTTAAGATCTATTCTCTTAGCAACTTTCAAGTGTATAATACACTATTATTACTTGTAATCACTATGCTGTACCTTAGGTCCCTAGAACTTACTTACAGCTGGAAATTTGTACCCTTTGGCCAACATCTCCCCTTTTCCCTCAAACCCCCATTCCTTGGTAACCAGTGTTCTATTCTCTATTTCTGTGAGTTCAGCTTTTCTAGATTTCACACGTAAGTGATATCATACTGTATTTGTCTTTCTCTGTCTGACTTATTTCACTTAGCATAATGCCCTCAAGGTCCATCCATGTTATTGCAAACGGTAAGATGTCATTCTTACAGCTGAATAATATTCTGCTGTGTGTATATTTCACATCTTCTTCATCACATTCATCCATTAATGGACACTTAGGTTGTTTCCCACAATTTGTTTATTCATCTTTTGATGGATGTTTGTGTTGTTTCCAGTTTGGGGTTATCACAGAACTGCTTTGAACAGTTGTGTACAAATCTTTGTATTATATATCTTCCCTTTTCTCTTGAGAGTGGAATTGCTGGATCATATGGTAAGTATATACTGTGTTTCTTGTAACATTATTTTTGTTTTCTAATATTTTTAAGAAAGGTAAGTTCGAGACACTAAAATTTTGTTATATGAAAGTGTAGCTATTTAATTGTTCATTTTAGAATTATTTCATAAATGCTGTTATTTCAAATCTTTTCATTATTTTTATGTACACATCTGTAAAGACAAAGTGATTCCAACTACTCGGTCATTGAGGACTAGGAACATTGTTCAGACTACAGAACACTTGCATGAAGAGAATGGTGATGTTGAAGTTCGCCGCAGTTGTAGGATTAGAAGTCGTTATAGTACTGTGAACCAGTCTGTGCTGTTTGACAAACTTATAACAAAGTAAGTAAAAATTATTTACATTGTAAGATGATTTATCTGGCAAAAACCTTTTGTTGAGGCGGGATCATAAATTTTGAATAGCGTGAATATTTAACGCATTCAGTTTGTGTAAAGTGTAACGGAGAATGATTGTTAGAGGACTTTGTAATGATTCTGTATACAGTATGTACCTAAATTCTTAGGAAAAAATTTTAAAAATATTTTTACACAAGTAAATCAATGCTATTTATAGAGATATTTAACACCCCAACACTCAAAGAGTACAATGGAAGAAAAATTGTTTTTAAAAATATACTACTCTTTTATAATTTTAGCTTATATTTATATCAATTTTTTTAAAGCACTGCTGAAGCTGTACTTCAAAAAATGGATGATATGAAGAAGATGCGTAGACAGCGAATGAGAGAACTTGAAGACTTGGGAGTATTTAATGAAACAGAAGAAGTAAATATGTTCTTCCATTAAGGGGATGGTTTAATCTCCAGTTTAACCTTTTCTTACGTACCTATCCATTTTTTGGTTAAATTATTCATTTTGTTCAGCATTTGTTTGATCAGTCACTAGTTATTGCTGGAGTTGTAAGCATTTATAGCTGAAAATATCTTCATAATTAAGCAAGATTGGAAGATCCTACTGTATTTTTATTTATAAATATACTAGATGTTTAATCACTTTTATTTAAACATTTTTAGGGGAATCTTAATATGTATACAAGAGGAAAACAAAAAGATATTCAAAGAACTGATGAGGAAACAACTGACAATCAAGAAGGCAGTGTGGGTTAGTTTTTTCTTTTCTGTCTTCTGGGTTTGAATTTCAGTACTTTTAATTTAGTAGGATATAGCCTTTTTATTCAGAAGCTGTGACATTTATGGTAGTTTGTGAGAGATCAGAGAATTGGTCATAATTTAAAAGAAAAAAGTGAAGACAAGGGAGAGCTTAGAAGGATAGTATGTTTTGTTTGGGAAACTACTTGAAATCAACAATTCTAAATCAAATAAAATTGGTTTGCTTGTGTAATACATTTACAGACAACACATATATATCTCTACATATTTTAGTTAAAAGGTAATTAAAATTAAGTTTTGCTATTCTGTTGAGGACTTAGTACTGTAATTTATTAGAACTTTTCTTGAGTGAAACCAGTTTTCTGAAATGCATTTTAAATGTTTGGTAAGGGTATTTTACATTATCATAAGTAGATTGATTTATGCTGCATGTAACTAACTCAGTGACAGCCAGAAGGGCTGGATAGAATGTCAAACTTAAGTTTAAAAGGCAAAAACTAAGTGTGTAGATACTCAAATTTGTCTAGAGGTTGCATTAACCTGGAAGCGTAAGTATAGTCACCTATATTAATGAAATTAGCAGTAATACCATAAACTTTAGTTTGGTACTTACAGTAGCCTTTAAACTTCTTTCTCTACTTTCATCTTTCCCTTCCTCTAGTTGTTTTTAATTCTACAATTTTTTACTTGATTTTTAAAAATCTTCATTTAATGTTGCAAAAGAATTACAGATTCTTTCTATGAACAATGTAGAAGTAGATAAATTTTTAAAGGAGGGTGTCTTTCTTTTTTTCCCAATTTCCCATGTTAGAGATTGTTAACATTTTGGTGAGTGTCCTTCTGAAAGTAAATGTTTCTTAATTGTAGAATCATCTGAAGAGGGTGAAGACCAAGAAGATGAAGATGATGGTGAAGATGAAGATGATGATGATGATGATGATGATGATGATGATGATGATGAAGATGAAGAAGATGGAGAAGAAGATAATCAGAAACGATATTATCTTAGACAGAGAAAAGCTACTGTTTACTACCAGGCTCCATTGGAAAGTAAGTGCTATATATATTTTTTCCAGGTGATATAATTGTATTACCTTTATCTTTACTACCTTTCCTCTATTATTATTATTTTTCATGTTTGCAGAACACTCATGGCTATTGTCTTTCTTAACCTATCCTAAATGTACAAGAAGTTATGCCAAAGAAAGTTAAATGTTAGCCTTGACCAAAGCAAATAATTGGGCTATTTTGAAATTTCGTGTATGTCTTTAGATTTCATAACTTTGTACTTAATTTATTTTGTCAGTCTGCATAAATAAGACTGCTTTTGATTTATGTTAAAAGTTGTGCCTTAGTACTTATGAGCATATACCTGGGGGCTAATAATCAGCTGTTATGCATCAGTATAATCATAATGGTTGTTTATGGCCAGTGTATGTTTTGGTTGGTTAGTGTCTGTGCTATACATATTTTCAACAGCAACCTTACAGACATAAATTATTTAAAACATGAACAGTAAAATATTCCATAGTAGATACGTACTAGTATTTTCATGGAAGGCAGCACTTTTGTAAGTATATAGGTGAAGAGCAAAACTGTCTTCATACATACTTATATGTCATGTAGTTATAATTCTTTTTTTTAGAACCTCGTCACCAGAGAAAGCCCAACATATTTTATAGTGGCCCAGCTTCTCCTGCAAGACCAAGATATCGATTATCTTCTGCAGGACCAAGAAGTCCTTATTGTAAACGAATGAACAGGTTTGGTTCTGAAATAGTGATTGATTTGTGACAACATAATTGTGGCTATGTTAGGATAGGATTCTAGAATCCTAGGATTGGATGTATCAGGATGGAATTTTAGAATCATGTATTTGGGAGAGTTAGCTCTGTGCCTTTCGTGCTCTAATCCCCACTACCACTGATGTTTTTGCTTTTGCTTCCACTAATAGGAATTGTTAGTAACTACTGTGATAAGGTAGTTTATTCCACTTGTTCCACACTTTAGTAATAGAGCTATCTTTGCTTCAGTATTTACTTGATTTTTGGCTTGGTCTTAAGCATTTTACAGACTGTTTCATTTAATCTTTACATTAAGTTAAAATAGCGGTTTAGCCTTGTCTTCGCTATCATGGACATATTTTCCTACCATAATAAATATTATAAGTTACGTAACTTCTAGACTTCTCATGACTCTGACCATCCTTTTCTGGATGTGTTTTTTGATTTGTTTATTTTATAAAGTAGGAAATATTAATTTTCTTTGACTATACAAATCGTGGGTTACTATTCCTTCTACATCCCAACGCTTGTTGCTTGTCTGTCATATTTAAATCCAAAGAGGTAATTCTTGTTATTTCCTCATTCTCCCAAGTAATAAAAGGTTTTCTGATGCGTTAGAACTTTCTGGGTAATAGAAGCATTATAGTAGTTCTTTAATGAGAGAGCTTCTTGAAGATGAAAAAGGCAGGAAAGAAATGACACTGATGTGGGAAATGGTACTTTCTTCCTAACATTATTAGTTCGCTCAGAAGTAAGAGTAAAGTCCTATGAGACTTCAGCTATTTGAACTGTTCTTGCATCTCTCCTCTTAGAAGCAAACTATCTCTTCATGTTTTGGTCATGGAAGGTGACATCTTCATAGGTGCTGAGAAATTCCTCTCTTTTAGGAAATACATGAACTACTACTTGTGTCTCTGGGTCTTTTAATTTCATTTTCTGAGTGTCAAAACTACAAATGTACATTCTGGATCTCTTGTTTCATCATCCCTTTTCACACAAGCACGACCTGGAAGGATAGAGGATCAGGAAGGCAAACTCAACTTGTCAACCTTCCCAAGATGAATTGCACTGGAAAGAGGTTGAACTGTTCTTACTTTTCATAGGACCCTTAGAATGTTGTTAAAGACTGACATTTCACTAGTGAAATTTAATAGTCTTCTGAAAAGGAGAGTAAGGTTTAGTGCTCCGTGGAATCCCCACGAAGCATGGGGCTCAGGGCAGCTGTCTGGGTAGCCTGACTCAAGGGACAGGCCTCTGTGTGATCCAGCAGAAGTGAGAGACGGGCAGTTACTTTGAGATTTAATTTCTTCTCCCATCTTTAATGGATTTATATTTCTGGAAGTAACATACTTGATTGACTGCCTCTACACTTGTCACCTACAATGTATCTTACAGCAGGTTGGAATTTTTTTTGTCACTTTGGTGCTCAAGTTCCATATCTGGTTCACAGTCTACTCTTTCCCTATGGAAAGTGTCTCACATTGTTGCATAGCTCCTTGGGTACAGGATTTTTTTGCCCTCCAATTATTTAACAAATGTATGAATACTACCATGTGCCAAACACTATGGATATAAAAATGATTAAGCCAGGATTCCTACCCTTGGATCTCATAGACTAGTAGAAGATTCTGACACATTTAAATTTAAGTATGAACTAAGAGATTTAAGCTGTACCCTGAGTTACATTATTTGACTTAATGACCTTCTTGGTGTTGGTTTTGATAAAGCCCTTTAAGACTTTTACTTTTTCTTTTTCTTTTTGATAACTTTATTGAGATATAATTCATATATACCATGTAGTTCATTCATTTAAACTGTACAATTCAATGGCTTTTAATATAGTCACAGAGTTGTGCAACTATCACCACAATCAATTTCAGAAGCGTTTTCAGAACAATTTCACATAAGTGGAATCTTTTGCGACTGACTTCTTTCACTTGGTGTAACATTTTCAAGCTTCACGCACATTGTGGCATGTATCAGCTCTTCATTCCCTTTTAGTGCTAAAGAAGATTCCATTGTATAAATATATACCATATTTTGTTTATTCATTTATCAGTTGATAGACATTTGAGTTGTTTCCACTTCTTGGCTATTATGAATAATGCTGCTGTGAACATTTGTGTACAACTTTTCATACATGTCTTTTTCATTTCTCTTGGGTATACACCTAGAAGTGGAGTTGCTGGGTCAAATACTAGCTGTGTTTAACGTTTTGAGGAATTGCCAGATTATTTTCCAAAGTGGCTGCTTCATTTTACATTCCCACAAAGAATGTATGAAAGTTCCAGTTTCTGCACATCTTTACTAACACTTGTATTACCTGACCTTTTGAATATAGCCCTTTTTTTTTCCCTTCTGAGGAACCTTTGCCCTGAGCTAACATCCGTTGCCAGTCTTCCTCTTTGTATGTGAGCTGCCGCCACAGTATGGCCCTTGATGAGTGATATAGGTCCATGCCTGGGAGCTGAACCCAGGCTGCTGAAGCGAAGCGCACCAAACTTAACCACTAGGGCACTGGGGCTGGCCCTGAATATAGCTCTTTACACCTTTTTTATGTTATTAACTTTCTTGCCAAGGTGGTGTGAACATCTCATCCCTTTTAACAACCTTAGTGGTAGTCATTTTGCTTAGCCTCTTTACTTTTTCTTGAAGAGACCAGCTTCTGTTTATAGTTGATGTTCTACTTCAGCTACGTAAGCAATGGAAACAAAGCACACTTCTGAAGAATCATTTGAATAGTGCTCTTAGTATCCATGGCAAATGGTCACGAAGTCTTGCAGCCACAGTGCAGGATCTTCCAAAGGTCTTTTGGCATACTTATCATAGAAGAACTTCAGGAATGCTGCCTTTGAGCAGGCTTTTCTTGCTTAGGATTGCTAACCTCTGGTCATCTAAGGTTTATTCTTTAGCTTCAGTCTGCAGTTTCTGGACTTTCTAGTCCCTTTGAACAAGAAGGTGACAATAGTACAATTGCTTCACCAGTTTTCCAAAGTGCTCCTTACCTCTTTCAACTGGCAACTCTAGATGCTCTGGTTAGGTTCAAAGTGCTGGTCCAGTTCTTCTTCGTGCCAGATTTTTCAAAAGTTTTTAGTAAAATGAAAAAAAATGAGTGAAATTGTTTATGTGTGTTTAGGATCTTTTAAAAACTGAAGTAATGGCCTTTCTACAGAATAGAGTGCTTATAAATAACCTAGACCCATGACTAGGACAGCCTGGGTTGCGAGCTCAGCTCTATGTCTTATGAGTGACCCTTGGCAAGTTAGTTAAACTCTCTGTGCTTCAGTTTTTTGATACGTAGAATGAGGATGATAGCACCTATCTCATGGTATTGTGAGAACTAGATGATTTAATACATGTAAAGCATTTAAAGCAATATCTGGCACATATTAAGTGTTATATGTGTTTGTTATTGTAACTGTACTTTCATGTTTAAAAATAATCCTTACTTTGCAAGTGAAACATTGGAAACTTTGTCAGTCTGCAAGGTTTTGTTGTTGGCTTATAACTTGGTTGGTTTGTGAAGTAAACAACTGGAGATTACCAGTGTAGTACTGTATAGCATGTGGTTTTTGGGAATAGGCAGACATAAATTTGAATTCTGACGCCATCATTGACTAATTCTGATATTTTGAGCAAGTTACGTAAGCCATGAGCCACATTGGCCCTGACTGTAAAATGAGCCTATAATAAGTACTTGTCCAAAGTTTTAATTAAAATTAAGTGAGATAATATGTCAAGCACCTGGTACAAGAAGCACTCACAAAATGTTCTTTTTATTAATTGTGAAGTTAGTGTTAATTATGTGGCTACATAGTGAATTCACATACAATTATGTGAATTATGTCATAACAGGTTAGAATCTCTTTGAAATATTAATGGTAATATTAAATGTCTTCATATAAAATTGCCGACTTGTACTAGATAGTTTTAGTTTCAGGCTGCTGACAAAAATGGTCTTGGGTGTGTTTGGGTAGGTGGATGGTGGAAGATTATTTTCTCACTTAATTTTGTGTTTGCACAACCCCTTATCTAAAACCCTTGGGGCCATTTGTGTTTCAGAATTCAGATTTTTTGTTTGTGGGGGGAGGGGACTTACAAAGGTAACATGCAACATACATAATATGTAATATTAACATCTTAGGGGTGTCTAGGCCAGCACTTCGTAGTCAGATCTATTCTATAGCAAAATATATGAGTGATCGTAGTCTGTGTGACAAATAAAGACTATGAATTGCCTTTATGACATTTTAGATCATGTTTTGCTGCTAAGTGAATAATGGAAAAACTTGTTTTCAGAATTGTTAGGTACAAGATTCTCAACCTACATTATGCAGATAGTGGATTGTGAACCTTTTATATTTTTGGAAATACCTACTTACCATGATTGCACTCTGACTCAGGAAAAGCTCTAGACCCTGAGCCAATAGAATGATTAAAGGGTTTTCCAGCCAGGTTCTTTGTTTTTCCTGTGGGTGTTTTGCCACTGTCCAAAGGTAGAAGTGATTTAAAAATTTTTTAGGGTCCGGCCCCATGGCCGAGTGGTTAACTTTGCCCGCTCCATTTTGGCAGCCCAGGGTTTCGCTGGTTCGGATCCTGGGTGTGGACATGGCACTGCTCATCGAGCCATGCTGAGGTGGTGTCCCACATGCCACAACTAGAAGGACCCACAACTAAAGATATGCAACTGTGGGGGCTGGCCCGGTGGCGCAGCGGTTAAGTTGGCACATTCCGCTCCTCGGCAGCCCGGGGTTTGCCTGATCGAATACCAGGTGAGGACATGGCACCGTTTGGCATGCCTTGCTGTGGTAGGCATCCCACACAGAAAGTAGATGAAGGTGGGCACGGATGTTAGCTCAGGACCAGGCTTCCTCAGCAAAACAAAGGAGGACCGGCAGTAGTTAGCTCAGGGCTAATCTTCCTCAAAAAAAAAAAAACAAGATATGCAACTATGTTCTGGGGGCTTTGGGGAGAGAAAGGAAAAATAAAATCTTAAAAAAAATAAAGTAAAAATTTTAAACATTTGTATTGCTTTGTATCTTATTTAATACTAACAAGCAGCCTAACAGCTTGATGATATTTTTATCCTTTTTTGTAAGGGAGAAAATTGAGGCCTACGTGGGTTGAGTAACTCATCCACATTTACACAGCTGTTAAGTGGCAGTTGTGAATTTAAAGTTGATGATATACTATAGATAAAAGGCCATCTTATTCCTCACTGTTTCCTAGAATTTTTTTTTTTTGAGGAAGATTAGCCCTGAGCTAACTACTGCCAATCCTCCTCTTTTTTGCTGAGGAAGACTGGCCCTGAGCTAACATCCGTGCCCATCTTCTTCTACTTTATACCTGGGACGCCTACCACAGCATGGCTTGCCAAGTGGTGCCATGTCCGTACCTGGGATCCGAACCAGCGAACCCCAGGCTGCTGAGAAGTGGAACGTGTGCACTTAACAGCTGCACCACCCGGGCTGGCCCCCTAGAATTTTTTTTTAACCCTTCTTGATCCCTTTTTGTTTATATAAAAATTCTCAGGACCAGCCCAGTGGCAGTGGTTAATTTCGCACACACTGCTTCGGCAGCCCAGGGTTTCAGTGGTTCGAATCCTGGGTGCGGACGTGGTACCACTCATTGGTCCATGCTGATGCAGTGTCCCACATGCCACAACTGGAATGACCCACAACTAAAAGTACACAACTATGTACCGGGGGCTTTGGGAGAAAAAGGAAAAAATAAAATCTTTTTTAAAAAACAGTTAAAAAAACCAATTCTGATGTTCTCCCTTTAAGGTTGACACTTGAAAATAGGTGATGGCTTTCAGATGTGAAATTATATATAGTATAATATTGGAAAATACTTTTTAAAATTACAGTCTCAAAGGTTATGATACCCTCTTTATTCCATCTTTCTCTTTGAGAATAACTGATTTATATTAAGACTAAGAAGTCACTCTGCCTGGACCATATCCTGTCTTAGTGAACATTTGATGGTTGACTCTATCACAGCCCCCTGACTCTTTTTCCCTTCCTCTCAGCTATCCAAGTCTTTTATTTTATGCCTTTCAAAAGATTCAGCCAATAAGCTTACTTCATGGGTTCAGGAAATATATTGATTTTATGATAAACCTTTGTGGATATTAGGTATTTCTGATGTTTGCGTCTTACGCCTTTTTTTCCCTGTCCTCCTCCATCATGATTTCAGTTTTTCTCTGTACTTTAGGCGGCGGCATGCAATCCACAGTAGTGACTCTACTTCATCTTCCTCTTCTGAAGATGAGCAGCACTTCGAGAGGCGAAGAAAAAGGAGCCGTAATAGAGCTATCAACAGGTAGGTCCCATAATGATGCCTTTCAAAACTACCAGCTATTTTATTTAAGTGGTGAGAAAGCTGAATAATTGGGAAATAGGTACAGTTTGATTAAAGAATTACACAACAGTTTAATGTGTAAACTTAGAATGACTTCTAGTTTGAGATCTACAGTTGAAACTAATAACAGGACATATGTTTTCTTGCACAACCATTATCTGCCCAAAATGGTGTTTGGTAAACACTGACTTAAGGAGATAACTTTTTTTCATTTCAAATATTTTTTCTATTTATAATAATAATACTTTTTATTGTAGAACTGTTAAAGAATATTGAAGGGTTTGCTCATTTCATAATTCCTTGTAGTATTAGTACATATATACTAATCAACTCATTTGATTTTCACAGTAATTATATGAAGAATAGGGCAAGGATTATTCCCATTTTACAGATGTGGGTAGGTGAATGAAAAGGCAGTGCTTCGATTCTAGTAATATAGCATTCTTAGGGTAGAAAGTAATGCTTGATGAAGCAATTAGAACATGATAATTGAAGGGGCATGCGAACCAACTGTTTTTTGTATCTATTCTTCTATCATGTTAGATCTACCCTGTCCATTATGGTAGCCATTACCCACATGTGGCTCTTGAGCACTTGAAATGTACCTAGTCTGAATTGAGATACACTAAGTTTTTGTAAAAAAATACACTCTTGTGTTTCAAAGACTTAATACAAAAAAAGAGAATGTAAAATGTCTCAATTTCTAAAATACTGATTTTTCATGTTGATAATATTTTGGATATATTTGGACAAGTAAAATATTAGAATTAACTTTGCTTTTTCCTTTGTTTAGTGTGGCTAATAGAAAATTTAAAATTACCTTTTTTGCGTGTATTTCATTTCTATTGGACAGCAGAGGGTTAGATCATCCAAAAACTGTATACTTAGACAACTTGGATTTTTCTTTGCTTTCGTTCGTAGAAAGCTTGTGGATTTTATATTATGAGGTTATATTTCTATGAAGAATTATTTAAGAAATACCCTTTATTTTTTTCCCCTGCTTTTTCTCCCCAAATCCCCCCAGTATATAGTTGTATATTTTAGTTGTGGGTCCTTCTAGTTGTGGCATGTGGGATGCTGCCTCAACGTGGCCTGATGAGCAGTGCCATGTCCGCACCCAGGATCTGAACTGGCGAAACCCTGGGCCACCGGAGCAGAGTGGCAAACCCAACCACTTGGCCATGGGGCCTGCCCCAGAAATACCCTTTTAAAAGCCGCAATTGAAAACTTGTCCATCTTACATTGCACAGTATAAATTCCTCATGGAACTTGGGGCTAGCGAGAATCGTCACTTGGGGTGAGCATGGTATGCTTTTACTTGTGTTCAGCTGCACCAGTCAGTCTTTGCTTAGTCATTCTGTTACAAATATCTTAATCTCTAACATAAGCACTTCTCGTTCTTCTGTCTATAAAACAAGCAGGCTCTTCTAGGTGTAGTCTTTGTAACCTACTGTAACTGTTTTGGAAAGTATTTGGAAAGTAGTGATTCATTCTTGCTTGAGAGGATTGATATGGATCCAAATGCTGGTGGACTATGAATATTTTGCTGAGAGGTATTGTAGCAGGTCTGGAGACACATTGCTTGGGCTTGATTCTTGGATCTGCACTTACTAGTTGTGTGACCTTGGGCATTTTAGTTAACCTTTCTGTGCCTCAGTTTTCTTTAAATAGGGTATATAATAATACCTACTTCATAAGACTGTTAGGAGAGTTTAATGAGTTAATACATGTAAAAGCACCTAAAACTAAAACAATGACTGGCAAGTGGTAAACTCTATATATGTTAGACACAGTCATTGTAATGAATGTTGATACTGTCTGCATTTTCAACCATGAAGTACTTTATCGTGCTGTGGCATCTTGAAAACTGGTATTTTCATTTGATTGTATATCTTTAATAATAAAGCTTCAGATATAAACATTTCTAATGCTTAAGTTCTCAACCTATGAAGAAAATGAGAAAGTTGAATTATGTAATCTCAAGATCGCTCCAGTTGAAATTTAATTATTTTTTTAATTCTTAAGAAAAATGTCCGTATTCTAACATGGAATTTAGGGAGGAAGGTGAATTGATGGATTTTTTTTAACAAAATCTTTTTTCAAATAGGTGCCTCCCACTAAATTTTCGGAAGGATGAATTAAAAGGAATTTATAAAGATCGAATGAAAATTGGAGCAAGCCTTGCTGATGTTGATCCAATGCAACTGGATTCTTCAGTGAGTACTGTTTTGAGATGTGTGCTTGAACTATAATATTGTTCTTTTTAGTTTAAAGTTAAAACAGAAGCCAATTATTTTATCAGAAACTTTGATCTTTACAGACTTTTTTTCCTTCTTTCTTTTTTTTTAAATCTTCAGACCACAACTAAAATACTCTTACTCAGTTGACCCTGTGCAGGTTGGGTATACTTGGGGATGAAGTGACATTTTAATCTTGACTCTAAATCCAAGAATGTCAGTGTTTCCCTTTCGTTACCAGGTACGATTTGATAGTGTTGGTGGCCTGTCTAATCATATTGCAGCTCTAAAAGAGATGGTGGTGTTTCCTTTACTTTATCCAGAAGTCTTTGAAAAATTCAAAATTCAACCTCCAAGGTAATTTAACTATGCATTTTATTTTAGCCAAAATTTGTGCTGTGCTACTATTGTCCAGAAAGATAATGCTTCTCTCTTGAAATTTTTCAGGTCTGCGGTAATTTGTTACACTTTTCCTGCAAGGTCCTGGGTGCTTTGAATATTTTTAGTTTCTCAGTGTTTAATAAGAATAGTGGTTTCAAAATTAGTTCTCCATGAAAAAAAATCATTCTCTGTGGCTTTTCATACATTTATTGAAATTCCTCCCATACATACTCTTTTTTTTCTTTCATTTTAAAAATTTAGTTTTAAATTTGTATCAAAGTAGTATATGTGCATAATTTTAAAGATAAATAGCACTGTAAGTTTCACAAAGAAACAATGGTGGTGGTCCCTCCTCTCCCCTTCTCCGTTTCGGTTTACACTTCTTAGAGCCAACTACTTTCAATCCTTTAACTGTTCTTTACATGTACATATCTAAATAATATGTTTATACTATAATTTCTGCTTTTTCTATTTTAGGCACAATCTGTAGACTTCTAACTCTGAATAGTGACTATTTGGCTCTTTTACCTACCCCATCTTTTACATTGACACGTTTTTTTTCCCTTCCTCATACACTCCCAATAGTTTATTTATACATATGTAAAATTGTTGAATCAGTTTTCAGTGTTTGCTTTATGACTGTGTAACTATTTCTTACAGTTAACCCATATATAGTATATTGACTTACATTTCTTCTCTTTTACAACTCTCCTCTCGCCTCCTCAGCGTTAATACTTGTCTAATTTTTGTGGGTTTTTTTAAATTAGTTTTATATATACTTATCAATTCATCCACAAAGTCTTCACTAGAGCTATAAAACTCTTTTCTGTACAGTTAAACATATCAAGTAATCTGTTGGCTCCTTGTTTTTCTGGACACATCTTCCTGGGGCCTTTTTCTCCTGCTTCCGTCAGGACTGGTTGCTCGTTGTCTTGTAGCACAGCTAAGCCTTGGGACTTCCATCCCCATCATTATGGAATTGCCTTTTATGTTGCTTTCAGTGCTGGGTTCCCTACTTCCTTGGTTCAAGTAAGACCTTCTTGGTTTATAGCTGTGTTTTGATGGAGCACGTTCTAGAAATATCCTGAGAAAAAGAGTGCATGGGAAGTTATTTTTATTTATTTTTGGCAGCAGTCCTATAACCTCACACTCTATTGATATGTCTTTTTCCTCTCCTCCACTTCACTGTGCTATACCTTCACAATCTGGAAACGTGTCCTTGATTTCTGGGAAAGTTTTTGGTATCACTTGAGGAACTTTTCCACTCCAATTTTTCTTTTCCCTCAATTCATGTCATTTGGATGTTGGACATTCTAGATTAATCTACTCTTCTTACCTTTTCTCTCTTGTTTTGGTCTCTCTTGATATTAAGTCAAGGCTTTCCTTAAGTGTCTAGTGATCCTTGACTCTCTGTTAATATTTAAGAGTGAAGCATGTTTTTAAATCTCACTAGTAGGGTTTGTTAACTTGTAGGTCTCACCTTAGGGTAATTGGTGGGGCTGATTCTTTCACCAGAAGTCCTCAAAGTCAGTATCTAGGGGTGTTTTATCCCAGAGATGAATCCTTCAGTCTCTGTCTGAAGCTTATGAAAGCCTGGCTGCCAGCGTTTTAGCAGAAGACCTGAGAAGTGTTAGTAGTCTCCACCATTAAGTATGGAGTTTTTAATTTGATTCCTGCAGTGTCTCATCTTGTTCTGTACCAGAAAGTGAGCTGTCCAAGCAAGTTACCTGCACAGGGTAGGGGAAGGGAATCAGGGTCATCTCACTGTTCTTTAATAATGTCTTACTCCATTCTCCTGTTTTCAACCCCACCTTTCACTCCTGCCTTGAGATATGTTGCCTCTAAATTCTGTGAGGGGTTTTGCAAATTAGCTTTCTTACTGGGGGCTTCTTTTTTTTAGATTTTTTTGCTTTTTCGGGTCTGCTAAGGTCTTCTGCATTCTAACTTGCAAAATTTTGTTGGGATATCTCAAGTGCTATCATCTCATTTTGTTGTTCACTTTGTTCATTTTATGCACTTAAGCAGAATTAAAGGGAAGAGCACAGACAAAACCATATACTCAATCTGTCATGTTTACCTGGAAGTCCACTCTTGAACTTTTATATCACCATAATTTATCCTCTTCCTTTTTCTTCTAGTTCTTATATGTTATTAACCCATTTTTTAAACCCTAGTCTCTGATTCCCTTTTCCTTATACAGCTTTTCTCCCTGCATCACCCTGTATGGAAATATTGATTTAAGTAAACTTTTTTAAATTAGTAAGCTTTTTTCCCTTTCCATTATAAAAGTTATGTAGTATAAATTAATCACAGTTAAACATTGGTGAATTTTAAAATTTTAAAGATCAGAAGCATATTAATATTAAATAATAGCATTTACTTCTTACAGGAAATGTTGGAAGTACCTAGTTAATTTAGTGAATTTGAAAGACACAACAAATTCCCCCAATTTTTTCTCTTCATTTCTCCTTTACAACATACATTACCCCCAGTAAAAATCAAATATATGGTAGTGTGAACCTGCCGTTTTCATGTTATGTTCTCTTTCCATTTTAATGACTGAATAGTATTCCATTATGTGGATATATCACGTTTTATTAAATTGATTCTGCTCTTGCTGGCTATTTAGTTTTCATTATCACAAATGTTAATGTCATGAACATCTCATTGCTTCCTCTTTGTGTGAATCCTTAATTCCTCTTTAACATGGTCTCACAGGCCCCTGTGAGACTGAGTGCACACGTTCTGCTTTGGTGGCCTGGGGTTCGCCAGTTTGGATCCCGGGTGTGGACATGGCACCACTTGGCAAGCCATGCTGTGGTAGGCATCCCACATATAAAGTAGATGTTAGGTCAGGGCCAGTCCTCCTCAGCAAAAAGAGGAGGATTGGCAGCAGTTAGCTCAGGGCTAATCTTCCTCAAAAAAAAAAAAAAAAAGATAGTCTCACAAATAAGATTGTTAAAATCACTATGGTTTATTCCATTTGTTTGTCTGATTGTTTTCTTAAAAGTTGCTTTTGTGTGTGTGTGTGTTTACATTTGATTATGTCCATTTCTTCTTATTTTTTCTTTAATATTTCATTCTTAACTTTTAATGTATTTCATTCATCACTTGTGATTTTTTCCTGCTACTTTTATTTTGTCATTTCTGTTTTTCTGGGATATTCCTTAAGTGTTTCTTTTCAAGAGCAGTTATTTGATGATGTGAAATTGGTTATCAATTTCATATTACTTTGGTAGAATTTAACCCCTCACGTGTTCTATTTCTACAGCCTTTTTAAACTTCTACTGAGAGTTATGAGTATAGCCCATTTTCTCAGATTTCTATCTTAAGAGTAGTGAATAACTTTGGAATATATGAAAAAGCTGCAGGTTATTCCATGGCAGTGATGTCACCAAAAATTATTTTAAATTATTTACATTGGCCTGGTCCCTATCACTCAACTACCATTTCTTTAAGTTCTCTCTTCTTTTATCTTACTTTCTCTCCTGTTCATTCCCAACATGTTTTCTTGCAAAACTTTTGGTATTACATTATTGATGCGGAAGACCGAAGACTGTAGATGAAATCTGCTCTTCTTTCCCCTGATAATGTTACAAAAGTAAACTATCAGCTCTTTTTAAGCATGACTTCTATGCAAGGTAAGGTAATACATCGGCATGATGAATTAATAAAAGACAGTATGTTTCAAATAAAGAGTTTTGTTTAGTTTCAATGTTAATTTTGTGGTGTCAGTATTAATTCCCTGGTTTTAAGTTGTGCTTTGTGGATTGAAATGATATTTCCGTTGTCTTATTTACTTTTTCATTCACTAATGAAGTGCATTCATGGAATTGGTTTCTCATTTTGTTTAAATAGTCTACTTTTTAATGTATAACTAAAATAATACTTATTCTTTTACAGAGGTTGTTTATTTTATGGTCCACCTGGAACTGGAAAAACTCTGGTTGCTAGAGCACTGGCCAATGAGTGCAGTCAAGGGGATAAGAGAGTAGCATTTTTCATGAGGAAAGGTGCTGACTGTCTGAGTAAATGGGTAGGAGAGTCTGAAAGACAGCTACGATTGCTATTTGATCAGGTATGATATTAAAACTTATCTATATAGGTCTATAATCAATGTAGATGTAAGTATGTAAGGATTAGATACAGCCTGCACTTTATCACTTTTCATAGAAATAAACTCAGAAGAATTAGACCAAATATCTTTCTAGATTATTTTCTTTTGTATGTCAAGATAAGACTGACCTACGATGAACAGTTTTATAGTAAGAAGAGAAAGGAATAATTGGATCTAAGTTCTTTGGAGTCTTAGGTCCCATACCTAGAGAGCGAGTGATAGTCTCATACTTAGAGAGACAATAGTAGTGAGTTATGTCTCAATATGCAAACTGAAGATTAGTTCTGCCCTAGAGTGGCTTTCAATTTCATATCCCAGATTGTATTGACAGCACATTGTGAGATAATACATTCTAATCTACCGAGGCACATTGCTGCAGATGCTTTTAAATCTCTTTATGGAACTCACTGAGATTCTTTATTTTAACTTTACAGAAATAGATTTTTTTTAAAAAAGCTGTAGCATCTTGCTAAATGTTTCCCCATCCTGACATGGAGGAATGCCATATCACTGTCTTCTATTCTTTGTCTTACTTTAACAGTTGGTGTTTTAGATATTTTTTGTGTCCCAATAACTAAAGCTATATGAATTCTAAGGTATATAACCAGTAGAGTATGTATTTTGAATATTGCCAGTTGAGAATGCAAATAAAATTGAACTGTGTTAATATAATTTAGTCTGATCTTTAAACATAGTTCTTGAATTTACATTTAGATTTATAAGCTATAAATAAATGCTAGTAAGCAAGTTGGAATGAAAATGGATTAAAATGGTTTATAGTAAGTCTATATATTTGAAGTTTTTCATGATAATGTGCAATCACCGGACCTACTTTCTAGGCTTATCAGATGCGCCCATCAATTATTTTCTTTGATGAAATCGATGGTCTGGCTCCAGTACGGTCAAGCAGGCAAGATCAAATTCACAGGTAAAACTTGCTTGATGGCACTTCTGCCTTTCTTCCTACATTCTGAACTATGTTGATGTTATATGAGGGATAGAATGTTAAATGGTAAAAGAAACTTTACGAACCAGTAGTTTCCCTTTTTTTGGTAGTAGAACCCCAGTATATAGTACAAAAAGAAAAAATGAATGTGTTCTGGGTGGCAGGATATTCTCAAGCACAGCATTAAAATGTTGGTTACAGATTTAACGTGTGATACAAAACTTAAGTGCCCACAGTCCAATGAGGTAAGGCAAATAAAATGAGTGAGGCAGGCCCGTGGTGAGAGTGGGACTATGGTTGAGAATATGGCGGTGTGTCCAGTCATAAGAGCATAGCCAGTTGTTTCTAGCTCCAGCCTACTGTTGAAGTGCAGAAGCTGACTCAGACTTGAAAAACAAAGTTCCTCTCTTTCTTACACTTTATATTCAGATTTTTGTATGAAATATCTTTAAATGTTGCCAACAAATTTGGATATTTAAGACACTGTCTGAGCCCAGCAAAATATGTCTTAGCGCATTACTACTAGTTTAAGATTTTAAAACTAGCCCAACCTCCTCATTTCAGGATGGGAAAATTACATCTTCCCTATGATAACCTGCTTACCCAAGGGAGCACTTCTCCTTAGTGGCACTGCCTTAACTTGAATTTAAATTACTTTTAATCCCAGTTCATCTTCACTTTTTCAGAGCTTCTTTTCAAATGGTCGTATGAATTGTCTGTAATTGTTTAATTAATTTGGGATACCCTAAAGCAAATGTTTGTGTGCCTTCATATATCCAGTATTGTTTGTTTATTGTAGATAATATAAAAGAGGAACAGCATATAATAATGTGAGTGATAGGGAGGTTCTGTCTTCTCCAACATCTAACAATATTTACTGTATTCTCGTGGCCTCCTTTGACTTGATGCTGTACAATTTTGTTTGTTGCTCTGAGTAAATTAAAATGTTAAGTAGTATGGTAAAAATAGCTATGTCTGTATGTGTCCACATTCCATCATCAGCCATACTGTATTCATGTGTTAATAGGGAGAAACAATTACAATACTGTCATCACTTTACAATCAAGTAATTGAGTACTTACTGTATTTTGGAACAGTTCTAAAGAAATTGGAGAAACTTTAGCAACAAAAATTATAGAGTAATTTTAGCAAGCACATGCCATCTCAAATACACACATATATTTTTTTTTTTTTAAGAGAAACTTAGTGTACAAGTTTTTTCCCCCAAAGAATTTAAAAATCTCAGAGTAAACCTTGTTGTTAAACTCAGGCTTTTAGAAGGTAGCACTTTGAATGTGATTAAACCGTATTATCTTATTGTTAGTAATAATATTGTAGGATAATGCAAATAAGTAATTATGTGAATGCATTAGAAAGTAAGATTTTTAGTCTAAAAGGATCCAAATATAAAATAAGTTAAATTAAAACCCTAAAATCTTTATTTTGAATTGGAAATATAAGTATGAACTCATGATGAGGTTTTTTTTTAAAAGAAAAAATAATTTCTAGCTCTGGACACTAAAAAGGCCTAGAAGCAATCACAATCCGGTAAGCACTTCATACTCCTAGCACCCAGAATGTGATCCTTAAATAGTAGGACTCTTAGCAGAGATGGTGGATTGCAGAACTGAGGCAGGAAATAAGACAAGCCTGGAACATCCTGTAATACATGGAAACAAGCAACTGAAGACTACTGGGGTCATATCAGAATGACATAGCCAATTTTGAGGGAGTTTCCACTGGCCAAAGATGGGGCAATTTGATCGTCAAAAATAATAATGACTGCAATAGATTGAAATGCATCAAATACATAAAAACTGTTAGTTTTTATTGATTTAAAAAAACATTTGTTACTCCAGAAGTTGCTAAGATAGTGATTCATTACTCTGAAAATTGATAAAGGGAATGAATCAAGCATTTCTTTTTCCTGCCCTGTAACCATCATTTGGGGTAATTTAATAGTTGATGAAGTAACCTTGTTCTTTATAGGAAAATCACAGTTAATAAACAGAAAGGAAATCATTGAATTAGAAAATCACCATTTTGCAATACCTTATGAAATAGTGGCTTTGGACCTGTGGTTTTCCACTGGGAGTGATTTTCCCCCCAGGGGGCAAATGTCTGGAGACATTTTTGATTGTCACAACTGTTGAAGGGGGCCACAACTGGCATCTAGTGGGTGAAGACCAGGGATGCTGTTAAAACATCCTACAGTACAGAGGACAGCTCTCCACAACAAAGAATTTTCTGGCCAAAAATGTCAGTTGTGCCAAGGTTGAGAAACCCTGATCTAAGCAATAATTGTTAATGATTGCTAAAACAGTAAGGTAAAAAGGTTGACAGTGAAGTTTATGATGAGTGGAGTAAGTTGATATAACACCTCGCCTAAACCCAACCACTGATCTTAAGTGAGAAACTGGTATTATTTGCCTCCTGAGATATACTTAGGAAGTACATGGTATCTTCCTATGAAATATGCTGTCCAAATAGTTTTAACCTACATCTATCAAACTTGTAGAACTAACTACCATTTTACAGGGAATACGAAAATAGAGGCTAAGTTAAATGACCCCATCAGGAAAGATTCAGCCCAATCCAGAATGTGGGAAGGAAGTTCTACGAAACAAATGACCCCATTTCTTCAACAAAGAAATGGCATGGAGGAAGAAAGAAGTGAGGGAGGTGTGCTGGGAACTGTTAGAGATCTGAGGGACGTTTGACTAAGTGCAGTGTGTACATCTTTGCTCGAACAAATCAAATATAAAAATATAATTAGGGAAAACTGGATATTCAGTGAAATTAAGGAATTATTGTCATTTACATTGGTATCATTGTAATGTGGGAGTTTTTTAGCATTATCTCAGAAATACATACATGAAGTACTTAACATGAAATATTTATGGATTAAATGATCTTTCTGAGTGTTTTTGTTTCAAGCTAGTGGGTAAAGACATAAAAAAATATTGTTAATTGTTGAAACTGGGTGATGAAGATGTGGAGACCATTTTACTACTCTCCATGGTAAAAAAATTTTAAATGTAATTAAAATCCTTTATTTTTATGCTTTATGTATATTTTATTTTATTTTGGGGTCCTTTGATAATGTGTACACAATGGAACATTTTATAATTTTTAGATACTGTTTGTCTACTCAGTACTTACTGGTATTTTTTTTATGTATCCTTGTTTGGGAACTCTCAAGTTCCTTTGTGAAATGGTTTCCAGGATTTATTTTTGGCATTCTAAAGACCATCTGTGTTTTCTATTGATTTACTCTCTACATGCTATTTAGTATGTTATTTTACAGATTTTTTTTTCAATCCATTGAAAGTCGTGGGATGCACTAAGAAAATTCATTCACATGTTTAATGTATTAAATCTTACTAAAAGAAGAAATGATACATTCAAGATTCAGTTGATTAATCTCTTCTCTCTTATTTTTAAATTTAGTTCTATTGTTTCCACCCTGCTAGCTCTTATGGATGGACTGGACAGCAGAGGAGAAATTGTGGTCATTGGTGCTACCAACAGACTGGATTCTATTGATCCTGCTTTACGAAGGCCTGGTCGTTTTGACAGAGAATTCCTTTTCAGCCTACCTGATAAAGATGTAAGAATTTAACATCACTCAAATTTTAACAAAATATGTTGCCTTTATCATGAAAAAGTCTTGGTACAGTGAAAATTTGAAGATTGTGTTTTGTATGTTCTGAAGCAAAGCTGTATGATTAATATCCAAACATGTTTGTATGTATTTTTAGGGAGGCATTACTTTATTTAAAGAGAAGAAAAGAACTCAGATGGTTTCTTATTCTTTTCTTTAAATAAAATAATGCCTCCCTAAAAATGCTCTTAAAATTCTTTCAGTTTGAGCACAGCCTTTGGATGTTAATCATACATCTTTATTTTGCTTCAGAGCATATGACCTAATGAACAGTCAGTCCTTAGTCAACTTGTTAGCTTTGGCTTTTTCATGGGTACCACCATATAATCCTCCCCAGCTATTTTAAAGCCACTTAATCTTTTGAGAACCAAGCAGGAAAATATGGGTAGAGCTGTCAGTACTTTTTAAAACAATTCTTCTTATGTACCAGAATGAACAATAGTTGAGTAGTTATTTAATTTCTCTCATTCACATTTATGATGAATAGAACTCGAGCACTATAAATGTAAATCTGTTAACATAAATTCTTTAAAGTCTTAAAAATACATCTTTTTTTTCATTTTTACCATTTCATATTTCTGTTTATATTAGGTATTGATTTCTTTACAATTTTAGGTAAAATATTTTAAATTGAAATTCTAATCTGAATACCACTTTATTATAGATATAAAAAGTGAAATTGTTTTTGTATGTAGGCTCGAAAAGAAATTCTGAAGATTCACACAAGGGATTGGAATCCTAAACCACTGGACGTATTTCTAGAAGAACTAGCAGAAAACTGTGTTGGTAAACATTGCTTTAAGCATTAAAAAGAAATATTATTTGCGTTTCAAAGATGGAACAAGTTGTAGTCTTGCAAGATTATATTTGTTTCTCATCTCATATTTGTGACATGTTTTCTTCTTAAAAAATCCCAGATATCGAATAGAGGTATTTGACAGATTGGCTATCAGGGAACTTGGAGAGCAAAGTAGACAATAAAAATAATAGCTGTCTTTGCTCTTTACATTTTTCTGATCATCTCATTAAGTATTTACCTATATTCTTTCAAGTAATTCTCACATCATTCCTGTGAAATACATAGCATTATCCCCATTTTACAGATGTTGAAAATTGCTGAGAAATCATAAATGATTCTCCAAAGATCACCCATCTAGTAAATGACAAACTGGAATTTGAACCTACTCTGTCTGATTTTAAAATTCTTGCTCTTGGCCCCATGCTGTACTTAGTGCTTGTATATTTCACTCACAAAAGTTGATCTCTTGATGGTTATTACCACCATATAAGTTCATTGGGTGCATGAGGGATTTTAGCTTTATTACTCCTAAATATTTTGCTACTATATTGCTATGCTGATTTTCAATTTTATTTTAACCATGGTTATGCTAATAGGGTAGTGGTTTACTTTTACCATTTTTGTGGTTGCCTTGAATAGGATACTGTGGTGCAGATATTAAGTCGATATGCTCTGAGGCTGCTTTATGTGCTCTACGTCGCCGCTACCCACAGATATATACCACTAGTGAGAAACTGCAGTTGGATCTCTCTTCAATTAATATCTCAGCTAAGGATTTTGAGGTAGCCATGCACAAGATGATACCAGCCTCCCAAAGAGCTGTGACATCACCTGGGCAGGCACTGTCCACCATTGTGAAACCACTCCTGCAAGGCACTGTTCACAAGATCCTCGAAGCCCTGCAGAGAGTATTTCCACATGCAGAAATCAGAACAAATAAAGCATTAGACTCAGGTATGAAACTTGGGTGCCCATTTAGTTTTCATTATCAGTAAAGCTAAATCTTTTATACATCGCTGAAGTGTTTCCTTTTTTTTAATTTAATTTTTATTGAGTTGATAGGTTACAATCTTGTGGAATTTCAGTTGTACATTATTGTCTCTGAGTCATGTTGTAGGTGCAACCCTTCACCCTTTGTGCCCACCCCCCACCCGACCTTTCCCCTCGTAGCCACTAATTTGTTCTCTTTGTCTACAAGTTTAAATTCCTTATATGAGTGGAGTCATAGAGATTGTCCTTCTCCAGCTGGCTTATTGCACTTAACATAATTCCCTCAAGGTCCATCCATGTTGTTGCAAATGGGACAATTCTGTTTTTCATGGCTGAGTAGTATTCCATTGTATATATATACCACATCTTCTTTATCCAATCATCTGTTGATGGGCACTTAGGTTGCTTCCACATCTTGGCTATTGTAAATAATGCTGCAATGAACATTGGGGTGCATGGGACTTTTGGAATTGCTGACTTCAAGCTCTTTGGATAGATACCCAGTAGTGGGATAGCTGGATCGTATGGTAGTTCTATTTTTAATTTTTTTGAGGAATCTCCATGCTGTTTTCCATAGTGGCTGCACTAGTTTGCATTCCCACCAGCAGTGTGTGAGGGTTCCTTTTTCTCCACAACTTCTCCAACATTTGTTACCATTGTTTTAGTTATTTTTGTCATTCTGATGGGTGTAAGGTGATATCTTAGTGTAGTTTTGATTTGCATTTCCCTGATGATCAGCAATGATGAACATCTTTTCATGTGCCTATTGGCCATCCATATATCTTCTTTGGAGAAATGTCTGTTCATGTCTCCTTTCCATTTTATGATCGGGTTGTTTGATTTTTTGTTGTTGAGTTGTGTGAGTTCTTTATATATTATGGATATTAACCCTTTGTCGGATGTATGACTTGCAAATATTTTTTCCCAGTTAGTGGGTTGTGTTTTTGTTTCAATCCTGTTTTCCTTTGCCTTGAAGAAGCTCTTTAGTCTGATGAAGTCCCATTTGTTTATTCTTTCTGTTGTTTCCCTTCTCTGAGAAGACATGGTGTCCAAAAAGATCCTTTTAATACTGATGTCAAAGAGTGTACTGCCTACATTTTCTTCTAGGAGCCTTCTGGTTTCAGGTCTCACCTTTAGGTCTTTGATCCAGTTTATTTTGGTGAATGGTGAAAAAGAATGCTCAATTTTCATTCTTTTACATGTGGCTTTCCAGTTTTCCCAGCACCATTTGTTGAAAAGACTTTCTTTTCTCCATTGTATGCCCTCAGCTCCTTTGTCAAAGATTAGCTGTCCGTAGATGTGTGGTTTATTTCTGGGCTTTCAATTCTGTTCCATTGATCTGTGCACCTGTTTTTGTACCAGTACCATGCTGTTTTGATTACTGTAGCTTTGTAGTATGTTTTGAAGTCAGGGATTGTGATGCCTCCACCTTTGTTCTTTTTTCTCAGGATTGCTTTAGCAATTCGGGGTCTTTTGTTGCCCCATATGAATTTTAGGATTCTTTGTTCCATTTCTGTAAAGAATGTCGTTGGGATTCTGAATGGGATTGTGTTGAATCTGTAGATTGCTTTAGGTAGAATGAATATTTTAGCTATGTTTATTCTTTCAACCCATGTACATGGAATGTCTTTCCATCTCTTTATGTCGTCATCCATTTCTTTCAGAAAAGCCTTGTAATTTTCGTTGTATAGGTCCTTCACTTCGTTAGTTAAATTCACCCTGAGGTATTTTATTCTTTTTGTTGCGATTGTGAATGGTATTGTGTTCTTGAGTTCTTTTTCTGTTAGTTCGTTATTAGAATATAGAAATGCTACTGATTTGTGTAAATTGATTTTATACCCTGCAACTTTGCTGTAGTTGTTGATTACTTCTAAAAGTTTTCCAATGGATTCTTTGGGGTTTTCTGTATATAAGATCATGTCGACTGCAAACAGTGAGAGTTTCACTTTTTACCTCCCTATTTGGATTCCTTTTATTCCTTTTTCTTTCCTAATTGCTCTGGCCAAAACCTCCAGTACTGTATTAAATAAGAGTGGTGATAGAGGGCATCCTTGTCTCGTGCCTGTTTTCAGGGGGATGGCGCTCAGTTTTTGCCCGTTGAGTATGATGTTGGCTGTGGACTTGTCATATATGGCCTTTATTATGTTGAGGTAGTTCCCTTCTATCCCCATTTTGTTCAGAGTTTTTATCATAAATGGCTGTTGGATCTTGTCAAATGCTTTCTCTGTATCTATTGAGATGATCATGTGGTTTTTATTCCTCAATTTGTTGATGTGGTGTATCACGTTGATTGATTTGTAGATGTTGAACCATCCCTGTGTCCCTTGTATGAATCCCACTTGATCATGATGTATGATCCTTTTGATGAATTGCTGAGTTCGGGTTGCCAAAATTTTGTTGAGAATTCTTGCATCTGTGTTCATCAGCGATATTGGCCTCTAGTTCTCATTTTGAGTGCTGTCCTTGTCAGGCTTTGGTATCAGCATGATGTTGGCCTCGTAGAATGTGTTAGGAAGTGTTCCATCCTCCCTAATTTTTTGGAATAGCTGGAAAAGGATAGGTATTAAATCCTCTCTGAAAGTTTGGTAGAATTCTCCAGGAAAGCCATCTAGTCCTAGGGTTTTATTCTTTGGGATGCTTTTGATTGCTGTTTCAATCTCTTTCTTTGTGATTGGTCTGTTCAAATTGTCTGCTTCTTCTTGACTAAGCTTTGGGAGACTGTAGGAGTCCAAGAATGTATCCATTTCCTCTAGGTTATCCATTTTGTTGGCATATAGTTTTTCATAGTATTCTCTTATAATCCATTTTATTTCTGCAGAGTCTGTTGTTATTTCTCCTCTTTCATTTCTGATTTTGTTTATTTGAGCTTTCTCTCCTTTTTTCTTTGTAAGTCTGGTTAGGGGTTTGTCAATTTTATTTATCTTCTCAAAGAACCAGCTCATTGTTTCATTGATTCTTTCTACTGCCTATTTTGTTTCAGTAGCATTTATTTCTGCTCTGATTTTTATTATTTCTCTCCCTCTGCTGACTTTGGGCTGTTTGTTCTTCTTTCTCTAAGTCAATTGGTGTAGTTTAAGATTGCTTATTTGGGATTTTTCTTGTTTGTTAAGATGTGTCTGTATTGCAATGAATTTTTCTCTTAATACAGCTTTTGCTGTATCCCATGTGAGTTGGTATGGCATGTTATCATTTTCATTTCTCTCCAGGTATTTTTTTATTTCTTCTTTAATTTCTTCAATGATCCATTGCTTGTACAATAGCATATTGTTTAGTCTCCACATCTTTGTGCCTTTCTCAGCTTTTTTCTTGTAATTAATTTCTAGCTTTACAGCATTATGATCGGAGAAGATGCTTGTTATTATTTCAATTTTTTTAAATTTGTAGAGGCTTGCCTTGTTTCCCAACATATGGGCTGTCCTTGAGAATGTTCCATGCGCGCTTGAGAAGAATGTGTATTCTGCTGTTTTTGGATGAAGTGTTCTATATATGTTGATTAAGTCCAACTGTTTTGGCTTTTTGTTTAGCTCCACTGTTTCCTTGTTGATTTTCTGTCTGGATGATCTGCCCATTGATGTGAGTGGGGTTTAGGTTTGTTAATTGTTGCTTTATGAACTTTGGGGCTCCTGTGTTTGGTGCATAGATATTTATAAGCTTTATTTTTTCTTGATGAAGTGTCCATTTGATCAGTATATATTGGCCCTCTATGTCACTCTTTACCTGCCTTATCTTGAAATCTGTTTTGTCTGATATAAGTATTGCGACACCTGCTTTCTTTTGTTTGCTATTAGCTTTGGAGTATTGTCTTCCACCCCTTCACTCTGAGCCTGTGTTTGTCCTTGGAGCTGAGGTGCGTTTCCTGGAGGCAACAGATTGTTTGATCTTGTTCGTTAATCCATTTTGCCACTCTGTCTTTTTATTGGAGAGTTAAATCCGTTTACATTGAGGGTGACTATTGATGCATGAGGGCTTAATGCTGTCATTCTGTCGCTCATTTTCCGGTTTTCCTGTGTTTACTTTGTTTCTTGTCCTGTGTGTTTTAGCCTACCCATTGACTTCTGCAATTTCTTATGCTGGGTTTCTTAGGTTTTTCCTTATTTATGTTTTGTGTCTGTGTTGTGTTTTTTAGTTTAGTGGCTACCCTGAAGTTTGTATTCAGAATCTCCTGTATAACATAGTCCTTTTTCTAGTGGTCTCTTACTTCCTTAGCCTAAACTGATTCAGTCCCTTTCCTCCTCCCCTCCTAAATTATTATTTTCATCTCTTATTCCAACTTGTGTTGTGAGTTTGTGGTTAGAGTGATAAGATTGTCTTTGCTTTGGTGATTTTCCTTCCCTTTATCCTAATGCTATAGTTGAATATTTGCTATACTACTCTGATTCTATGTATTTGTCTCCCTACTCTGTGTTTTGTGACCCCTTTCTCCCTTTTTTTCTTTTTTCAGGTATGAGGGCCTTCTTCAGGATTTCTTGTAGTGGAGGTCTTGTGGCTACGAAGTCCCTTAGCTTTTGTTTGTCTGGAAAAGATTTAATTTCTCTGTCATATCTGAAGGATATTTTTTCCTGGATAGATTATTCTTGGCTGAAGATTTTTATCTTTTAATGTTTTGAATATGTCATTCCAATCTCTGCTAGCTTGTAAGGTTTCTGTAGAGAAATCTCCTGAAAATCTGATAGGGGTTCCTTTGTAGGTTATTTTCTTCTGCCTTCTTGCTCTGAGTATTCTTTCTTCATCATTCATTTTTGGCATTTTTAGCACTATATGCCTTGCAGTGGGTCTTTTTACATTGACAAATCTAGGAGATCTGAAATCTTCCTCCACACATATTTCTCTCTGAATCCCTAGATTTGGAAGGTTGTCCTTTATTATTTCGTTGAGCACACTTTCTGCTCCATTTTCCTTTTCTATGCCCTCAGGAATACCGATAATTCTTAAGTTGCATTTTCGCATTGAGTCAGCTATTTCTTGGAGATTTTCTTCAGTTTTTTAAATTCGTAGTTCTCTTTCTTCCTCTATCTGGAGCCATTCAGTCTGTCTGTCTTCGATTATGCTAATTTTCTCCTCTATGGTGTCTACAAGGGCATTCAGGGAATCTGTATTCTCTGTTATCTGATCCGTTGTATTTTTCATCTCTAGTATTTCTGATTGATTCTTCTTCATAGTTTCAATCTCTTTTGTGAAGTAACTCCTTGACTTGTGTCTATATTTCCCTTTACCTCATTGAGCTTTTTGATGATAACTATTCTGAATTCGTTGTCATTTAGTTTACCTATTTCCAAGTCCTCAGGACATACTTTTGTGTTTTTATTGTTTTCCTTCTGGTCTGGAGCTTTTATAAATTGCTGGATGGTAGAGGAGCGGTTTTTGTGCATAATGCTATTATTCGGTTGCAGTTACAGCCTGTTGCCACTAGATAGGGGTCGAGAGCACGTGTTCTGAGCCCTCTGACTTCAGCCGCAATGGCGGCGCACAGCGCAGGTTGGGGGACGAGGGGCACTTTCTCTGGCACGCCGACCTGCATTCCGATCAGCGCTCGCTCTCTGGTTTCCCAGGGCCCTGGCTTGATAGGGTCCTCCCACGCAAAAGCTTTCCCTCGTTAGAGGGTTTCCACTGCATGGGCCTGTGGGAGTCCTGGACAATCCCGCGGATGTGCAGCCCCTCCCCTACTCCTTCCCTCATGGAACCTCCGGCAGCAGGGATCCCAGGCTCTAGGGGAGGGAGCAAAGTTCTCTCTTACCCCGTTCCAGCTCCTCCGAGGTCAGCTCCAGCCTCTCCGCCATCCGTCGTTTGGCTGCTGTGGGTCTCTGATGATTTCCGTGCTATTAGGATTTTTTTGTTGGAATGCGGTTGTTCCTTTTGGTTGTACTTTGGAGGGGAGAGAGTCCCAGGTGAGCTCACTCCACCATGTCGCTGATGTCACTCCCCGGAAGTGTTTCTTTATAAAGAGCCTCTTAAAAGGAATTTGGGGGCCTGGCCTGGTGGCACAGTGGTTAATTTTGCACATTCTGCTTCGGCAGCCCGGGGTTTGCCAGTTCAGATCCCAGGTGCGGACATGGCACTGCTTGGCAAGCCATGATGTGGTAGGAGTCCACATATAATGTAGAGGAAGATGGGCACGGATGTTAGCTCAGGGCTAGTCTTCCTCAGCAAAAAGAGGAGGATTGGCGGCAGATGATAGCTCAGGGCTAATCCTCCTCAATAAAAAATGAAAGGAATTTGGTCATGCTTTGCCTGGATATTTGAAGGAAATTTACTTCACAGATTGCCTTTAACTTAATCTATTTTAAGTTTGGAATGCATTTTTGTATTTATTTGTTATTCATATCTACACAAATATTTTTGATCCTTAAAATACAAATTTATCGAGGTACACTGATTTGCTAACTGAAGTATTAAAGATTTGGTTTGCAATCCTGAAAAGTTACTAATATACAATTTTTTTGTTTTATAGATATTTCTTGTCCTCTGCTAGAAAGTGACTTGGCATACAGTGATGATGATGTTTCATCAGTATATGAAAATGGACTTTCTCAAAAATCCTTTAATAAGCCTAAAGAAAATTTTAATTTTCTTCATTTGAATAGGTACATTTCCCTTGGAAATAAATATATCTTTTGGTGTGTAAATTCCCTAAAACTAAATGAGGTGGTGGTTGAAAAGACAAAAGATGCCAACTAATCTGCTGTTTTTTTAACTTATCAGAAATTTTGTTGTTGTTACAGTTGTCGCTATAGTAGAAATTACACGGTATAAAGTATTCCTATACACTGTATAAAGTATTCCTAAAAATCTGTGGAGGTTGATTGTTTCCGAAAACCGTCTCAGCTGTGCTGTTATGATTGGCTGGCTGTGTAGTCAAAACTTTTGACTTATGAAAGTTCATAATTGGTAATTTGGGAGGAAAATGTAAACCTCTGTTTTTTCTAAAACATACTCTATTTCTCATTTCTTTCAGAAATGCTTGTTATCAGCCTATGTCTTTTCGACCAAGAATATTGATAGTGGGAGAACCAGGATTTGGGCAGGGTTCTCATTTGGCACCAGCTGTCATCCATGCTTTGGAAAAATTTGCAGTATATACATTAGACATTCCTGTTCTTTTTGGAGTCAGTGCTACATCTCCTGAAGAGACGTGTGCCCAGGTAATTTATTGTTGTCCAGACAAATAAGCTGTAAGACAAAGCAGTCTTCTTGAGACAGAATCTAGAATTGCTGCATTCTTTTTGTTCTGTGTTTTTTTGTCTTTCTAACTTCAGGTTTATAAAATGGAACTATGCGTTATTGCTTAGACATTAAAGAGTATGGGTTTTAATTCCATTTACACCACTTAACATCTGTGTGACTTTAGGAAAGTTATTAGATCTCTCTGCCTTGTTTTCCACATTTGCAAGATGGAGATAATAATAGTGCTTATCTTGTGTGGCTGTTGTGAGAATTAAATGAGTGAAGTACTTAAAACAGTGACTGCTCTGTTTTAAGTACTCAGATATTCTGCTGCTTCTGTGTTTGCTATTTTTATATTTATATTTAACCTTGGTTACCACAACAGAAAAGTCTTGTAGATTTCTTGAGCTGTTTTCTAATTGCTTGAAGCAATTATGTTTTCCTAAATATGAGACTTGCACAAAACATTCAGAAATAAAATTGTGGGAATCCAATGTTACTACAATAATTTTAAAAAAATTTTTTTAATAAATAAATAAAAATAAGATTGTGGGATTGAGGGAAGCATTTTGAAAACTTGAGGACTTTATATGATAATTTTGGAAAGTAAAACATTGCTCGAGACTAATAAAGCTAGCATTACTTATGTGCTGACTCTTTAACTGAATGTAATTTTTTTTCTCTACTAGATGATTCGTGAAGCTAAGAGAACTGCACCAAGTATAGTGTATGTTCCTCATATTCACTTGTGGTGGGAAATAGTTGGACCAACACTCAAAGCCACATTTACCACGTTATTACAGAATATTCCTTCATTTGCTCCGGTTTTACTACTTGCAACTTCTGACAAACCCCATTGTGCTCTGCCAGAAGAGGTAGTTTATGGGGAAGAAAATCATTATACTTTAAAAAGAGAGTTATTCATACCAAAGTAATAAGAACTTATTGTAAAAGTTCCAAGTGCTACAAAAGTGAATAAAATGATAAGGAAGAGTTTTCTTATCAAAGATACCATTGTTAACTTTTGGTATATGTGCTTATTGGGCAGGATGGTGTGTATATAAGTGTATGCATATAATAAGGCTACATTATCAGTTTTTTTCTCTTACAAAAATAGGATTGTATGATGCATATTCTTCTGCAGTTTGCTTTATATATTTTATGTATTTTCTAATTCGTAAGTCACATTCTTTTTAAGAGTAGCATGGCTTTTTCCATTGTCTTGATGTACTGTAATTTATTTATTCAAATCCTTGTTCATAGGTATTTTGTTTTCCAGGTTTTTTCTATTGAACTGCTACAGTGAGCATCCTTGGCTTATAATTTCTATGAGCATTACTATGTGAATTTTTCTAGCATCTCTTCCTAAAAGTGGAATAACTGCAGCTTAGTCAAAGAGTGTGCGCATTTAAAATTTTTGACAGTATCATTACTGTCCTACTTAGATGACTACCAATGACGACAAAAGTTCATGCTTCTTCTGTGTAGAATACTCTTCTCCTAGATATTCGCCTGGCATAATCCTTTTTTTCTCAGGTCTCTGCCCAGATCACCTCAGAGAGGCCTTCCCTGATCGGTTTCTCAATTATAGCAATAGCTCCTCTGCCCATCACTCTCTTTTCCCTTACTCTGCATTGTTTTTATTACTACCTGCCATTAAATATTAATTTGTTTGACTCTGTCTCTCCTAGCAGAATGTAAAGTACATGAAGTCAGGGACTTTCTTTTCTACCTCTCTGTCCCCACAGCACATAGGAAGCAGATACTAGGCTTCTGTGGCTTTTTTTAAATGAGTGAATTTAATACTTTTTCCATAGCTTTGACAAAATTGTTTTACAGTTTTTAGAATAGTAGTAGGAAGATAAATTCAAATGTTTTCTTAAAGAACTATCTATTGAGTGTTTATTCTGTGCTGTGCATGGTTCTAGGCACTGGGAATATAGCAGTGAACAATGTAGACAAGAATTCATATCCTCTTAGGGCTTACATTTTAGTTGAGGGGGAAACAAACAAAAATAAATAAAATATATAATACTAACCTATGCTATGGAGAAAAATTTAACTAAACAGTGCCAGAAGAGTGCGGTAGGGCCACAGTGTTAAATAGGCTAGGTAAGGCCTCACTAAGAAAATGGTATTTGAGCAAAGACCTGAAAAAGGTAAGGCAGGGTCCTATTTGAGTATCTGAAGGACAAAGGTTCCTGACTGAGGAAAAATAAGTGCAAAGGCCCTGAAGCAAAATTGTGTTGGGTCTGTTGGAAAAATAGCAAGAAGGCTAGGATGGCTAGAATGAGTGAAGGGCAGAGGAGAAGGAAATGAGGTCTCAGAGTTATCAAAAGACCAGGTTATGTCCCTGATCACTCTGTTTTAGTAGTTGATTGTGAATTATTCCTGTAAGTTGAATACGCTGAGAAATGAACAATAAGTATATGTTACAGACTCTTAGGGTGGGAAGGGGTCTTAAAGGTTTCTAGTTTAATTAATCATCTAGTTCAGGACTCTCCTTTATGTGGATATCCCACCTTTGTGGAAACACTTTCTTCACTATTCACTTTGTTAGCTCTGACTCCTAAAAAATCAGCTTATTTTGAGAGGCTTCCAATGCTTAATCTCTGTTTATTTCCAGGTACTATATGAAACCTGCCTAATCTGTCATTCTTTGTATATTTGAATATTCTTTTATGTTCATTTCTCTCTGCCCACTCTGACCCAAGCTTCTTTACACTAAACATTTCTTCTATGATATGCTATATTCCTTAAGGTTGTTAATACAATAGAAGTTTATTTCTTACCCACTTAACAATACTAGGCAGGTGAGTAGATTGGCAGGTCTTCTCTCCCCCATGCAGTCATTCAGACACTCGAACTGAGAGAGCGTTCTCATTTTTATCACATGGCTTTTCAGGTTGATTTCATTCCATTCAGCCTGAAAGGAGTGGCCCATTCATGGCCTCATCTGAAAGTGATGCATATTATTTCCTTAACATTCTTTTGGCTAAAATTCAGTCACATAGCTGTACCTAAGTATAAGGGAGATAGGAAATATGATAGCAGTGTGCCCAAAAAGAAGATTACATGGAGTATGGTAATAGCAGGCTCTGCCACACATCACACATATTTTTAGTTTCTTCAAAATTCTAGTCACTCTCCTGAACGTCTTTCTCTCTATATTCCTTTTGAAAGGCTGTACCCAGAATGAATTAAGTACTCTAGCAGTGTTCTGATTAACAGAGTAAAGAAAAAATGCTGTTTAATAGCCACGTTATACCATTGACTTATTGTACTCACTGTCGGTGAAAACTTTGTTAGTCATTTTGAAATTAAAAACAAAGATAATAAGTTTATACTCTTGATAACAAGAGACTAGCTGAACTTTCTTTATATGGTTGTGGGGAGATTGGAAAACTGTAATCAGTTTAATATGGGATAACTTTATCAAGAATGTGGGAATTCTGTACTTAAAGATCGTTTTTAAAGGATAGCTTCTCTGTTTCCTTAGGGTAATATTTCCTAAGCATACAATTGTAAAATGGGTAAAGTACCCCAGTACCACACTGTATAGTAAGATGGAATGGGCACAGGACCAGAAATTGCTCATTTTAAAAAATGAATAATCTAGTTTATATGGATGCAAATAAGCAAGTCTACTTTGAGCCTTGGTGATTAGTAATTCAATGATACTGTCTGTATAGCATTGGGCTATAATATATGAGAAATACGGTGTACCATTATTAGCTACATTAAAGTTTGTCTATCTCATAACTGCAGTCAGGCTACCTATATGCATGAGCCTCTAAGTCAAAAATGAGTGGACCCTAACAACTCAGAGCAGTATGGGAAAATGGGGAAGAATGTCGTCAATGGATTAGAAACTTTCATGAATCCATGGAAGATAAAGCAGTGGGGATTAGATTGATGAGGTTAACCACAGTTCAAAGCATGAACGTGAAAGGACTGCTTTGAAAGATGGGAGTGGTTTCTAACTCTGTGTCAGTGCTAGGAACGAATCGAAAGAGCCCTTGGACAACTTTGGGATAATTGGCTTTCTTCACTTCTGGCCATGCCAGCCAACAGTCAGCAGAGTTGTTTGTCCTCATCTAGAGCAGTGATGGTGGGTTCAAGGACTAGTGTAGCAGAGCAATGACTTATCTATGGCTGCTGATATCAGGAGGAATGGGGAACCCTTGTGCCCCAAGGACAAATTACAAGCACATGCTGTTTCCGATATAGTCTAGCTTCTTCCATAATCACTGGAAGTAGAAGCTAGAATAAACAGAAAAAGCATCTAAGTATGCAATTGAGGAAGGACAACTCTGGGGATAATCATATCCATGCGTCACCAACAGGCTGTTGTGGAAAAGAACCAGTTGGAGTTATAAATGAAATAATTCCCTCCAAATAAATCCCACAGTGCTGAAAAGGAGCAGACACAGATGAAGAGTGAATTAGCAAGATGGAAGATCATGAGGCCAGGAACTCTTACAGTGTGTGATACAAAAGAACAAAGAATTAAAAAGTGAGGAAAAAGTTAAAGGAAGCAGAGGAGCTAGATTTAGGTCTAACATCTATTTAATGAGATTTATGGGAGGAAAAAAGAAATGTGGAAGAGAAAATAGTCACATAATAGAAGATTTCATAGAGTTAAAGAATAGCATACGTCTTCAGATTTCAAAGGCCTCTTGTGTTCTAACTGATGGATATAAAAAGGCCCACATCAGGGCTGGCCCAGTGGCACAGCAGTTAAGTTCGCACGTTCTGCTTCGGCAGCCCAGGGTTCGCAGGTTTGGATCCCGGGTGCGGGCATGGCACAGCTTGGCGCACCATGCTGTGTTAGGTATCCCAGATATAAAGTAGAGGAAGATGGGCATGGATGTTAGCTCAGGGCCAGTCTTCTTCAGCAAAAAGAGGAGGATTGGCAGCAGTTAGCTCAGGGCTGATATCCTCAAAAAAAGAGAAAGCCCACATCTGGATAAAATTTCAGAAGCCCAAAAGTACAGAAAAAAATCTAAAAATCTGCCAGGAGAAAAATATTACTAGAAAAGACTGAAAACCAATTTACTTTTCCCTTTTCATTGATAACACTTGCTTCTAAGGAGACAACTGAGCAACATTTTCAAGTTTTGAAGGAAAATAGTTTTGAACTTGTAATTTTCTGCCCAAGAAAGTTAGCATTTGAGTGCGAGAGAAGATATTTTTGAACATGCAATGCCTAAGAAGCTATTACCCGTAAACCTCTGACTGAAAGAATTATTAAAGGATTATTTCTCCTCTTGGATTTTTATTTTGCAGAAGTGGCATATAACCAGCATTGATCAAAGAAAACAGTAAAACATCACAAATTGTGATAGAAAAAATTTTTTTAAAGAATATGAAACTAAATCTAAGTTGGTCTTGGTCTGAACTTGAAATGACAGGAAAGACAGTGAAGGAGGAGAAGAAAGTAAAAGCACGTTCAGATTTTTGTCTGATATGTAGATATTGGTTAACCTTACAGTTTGGTAGAAAAAGCAGCTTCGATATGTCTGTTAAAACTTAAAAGAATAGAAATACAACATATAACTTCCAGACCACAGAAAGGGGGGAAAGGTACGCATTCCAATAAAAATCCCAAGATACGTGGATTCTAAAATTGAATGTAGAAGAAAAAAAGTGCTTAAATTTCCAAGAAAATTTTGAAAAAGCAACGAGGAGGTTCTTGGCCCACCAAATATTAAAGCATATCACAAAGTTAGTGAATAAAACTCTGGAATTTGGGCCACAATGGACAAATTAATGGAATACAGTCCATTAGTAGACTCTTGTATACATGGTAATAAATGAATTAGCAAAAGTAGAGATTTATTTCATAAGTGATGTTGAGACAGGAGGAAAATATTCATATCATAATGTATTAGAGAAAAACATTTTCATGATTTTGGAGCATGGAAGGCCCTGCAAAGCAGAAAATTCAAAAGCTATGAATGTAAACTTTTCGCTATCAAAGATACCTAAATAAAGCACACAAGCATCCTACAAGGAATAAACATTGCTATCCTCTAATAATAATATTGGAAAAGGTCTAGAGGTTTGTTTAGAAACATCTTTTTGGCATCTGTTTTGCTTTTATTCTTTTTTTGGGCAGTAAAATCGACATAAAATTTACCATCTTAACCATTTTTCTAAGTGTACAGTTCAGTGGCATCAAGTACATTGCATTAAGTATATTCACAGTGTGCAGCCATCACTGCTATCCATTTCCAGAACTTTTTCATCATCCCAAACAGAAACTCTGTACCCATTAAACAATTACTCCCCGTTCCTTCCTCCCCTCAGCCCCTGGTAACCTTTGTTATAATAGCTTTCTGTCTCCAAATTTACCTATTCCAGGTATTTCATATAAGTGGAATCATGTAGTATTGTCCTTTTGTGATTGGCCTATTTCACTTAGCATAATGCTTTCAAAGTTCATCTATGTTGTAGCTTTTGTTAGAATTTCATTCCTTTTTAAGGCCAAATGATAGTCCATTATAAGTATGTACCACATTTTGTTAATCCGTTCATCTGGTGATGAACCTCTGGATTGTCTCTCCCTCTTGCCTGTTGTGAATAATCCTGCTATGATCGTTGGTATACAAGTGTCTGTCTGAGACTTTGCTTTCAATTCTTTTGGCTATATATCCTGGGTTACACAGTAATTCAGTGTCTAACTTTTTGAGGAACCACCATAGTGTTTTCTACAGTGGCTGCACCATTTTACAGTCCCACCAGCAAAGGGCTGTAATTTCTCCACATGCTCACCAACATTTGTTATTTTCTGGCTTTTATTCTTATTGAACAACTGCTTATTTTCATATCTCACTTTTGGCTGTGTAAGTGAATTAGCTGATCTCAACAAAACCTTTTAAGTAAAATATAACCAAATTAGTTACCATATGAATTATAGTTTGGAGTCTTAGTTTTAAAGAAGATCCCATGTGTTTTGGTTATTAATCTATTGCATACATGGTTTTTATGTAAATGCAACATATGTAAAAGATTTGTTTAAAACATAATTTCTTTAATACACAATTTAGATTGTCATTAAAAATGTGTATAATCTACGGTTGTGTTGAATAATTGACACATACATAGCATGTGTGTGTATACATACATAATGCATTTACTTTCTTTTTTAAGGTGCAAGAATTATTTATTCGTGATTATGGAGAAATTTTTAACGTCCAGTTACCTGGTAAAGAAGAACGGACAAAATTTTTTGAAGATTTAATTCTAAAGCAAGCTGCTAAGCCTCCTCTATCAAAAAAGAAAGCAGGTTAGTTCTTCTATCAAAGTTAATATCTAATAATTTCAAGGAAGTGGGAATAAAATATCAGTTAATGGCACTGCCATCTTCTAAGAACGTAAGCTCAAAACCTTGGTCATGGGGGCCAGCCCCATGGCCGAGTGGTTAAGTTCACACACTCCACTTCGGCAGCCCAGGGTTTTGCCCATTTGGATCCTGGGCACAGACATGGCACCGTTCATCAAGCCATGGTGAGGCAGCATCCCATATGCCACAACTAGAAGGACCTACAACTAAAAATATACAACTATGTACTGGGGGGCTTTAGGGAGAAAAAGGAAAAATAAAATCTTTAAAAAAACCCAGAAAAACCTTGGTCATGAGGTTGATCCTCTCCTTAAAAATCTCTATGCTGCCCATTAAATAGACTAAAGTTCTTAAAGCACACACAGCCTTTCATAGTATGGCCCCAATGCATGTGGAATTTGAGCCAGAATTCATAGTATAGCCCCCATCTGTCTTTCCAAACCATTTTTGGCACTTCTGTTCTCCCTCCTTTCCCCCACCTCTTTCCTTACAAAGCACTCTTATCTTTAAACCATACACAATATATTCCTGCCCTTTCATAATTTCGTTAATACTTACTTTCTCTCAGTATTGTTTCTATACCCATCGCCCATGTCTGCCTAAGGAACTACTCATCCTTTATAACTCATTTTTTGTTCCCTAGTATAGCGAGGCAAAATTAATTTTCTACCTTTATGACCCACTGTACTTTTTTCATACTACATGACATTGCGGTGATGTTATGATTATATGTCTTACTCAATAGATTGTAATCTTATTGGGGCAGCACTGTCATAGCCCCTTTTTAATCCTGAGTAGTCGGTGCATATCTGTTTAATCAAAATTAAACTTTTGTTATATTTGAAAACATATCACAATTCTTTATTAGTTCAAAGTCTTTTTCACTGTTAGAATATTCTTGGAAATAATGCATTTTCAAAGTTTTAATAGTCTCTTAAATGATCCTAAAATGGAACAGAGGATGATTTAGGAATTAGTATTCCAAATGACAAGTTATCAGTTATTGCTGGGGGGGATGTAGGGGTAGAGATTATGGTAGCACTTTAGTATTCCAAATCTTCTGAGTTCTGGCAGATGTAAGGAGGATAACTCCTGAAAGCCTGGTTGCTGTGTGCACTGAATCATTTAATATGATGGGAGTGTAGTAACTAAAATCTTCTATTATGTGAAGTTTTGCAGGCCTTGGAGGTGCTTCCAGTAGCACCACCACCTGAGCCAAGACCACTGACTGCAGAAGAAGTGAAACGACTAGAAGAACAAGAAGAAGATACATTTAGAGAACTGAGGATTTTCTTAAGAAATGTTACACATAGGCTTGCTATTGATAAGCGATTCAGAGTATTTACTAAGCCTGTTGACCCTGATGAGGTATTAATTTAGTCTTTGTATCAAATGTGTTCTAAACTATAATGCTTCAAAATCAGAATATTTGAATTGTTTGTGATTTCTTCTCTATTTTATTAACTTGTTTTTTCTGTACAGAAACATGTTAAGTAGTGTCCTAGACAAATGGAGACTTCAAGAGCTATGTAACGCATTTTCCTTTCCTACAGAGACTAGGCAACGAACTTTGGCCCAACCCAGACGTTCTAGAAGCAATTTGAGAATGTCTTAATGCTACATGACATTATTCTGACCTACATGGTTAGAGTGAGCTGGAGAGTGAGGTCTTAAGTTGACACTGAAGGATGGGTGGCATTTGGATGAAGAAAGTGGTATAGGATGTTACTGGAGATATAGGTGCCCAAGAGTAGCAGTAAATGCAAAACAAAACCAGCCTTAAATAGAGTCAAAGATTTCGTATTAATATATTGTCATTATCTCTTACATATTCATTCTCTCTCCCCTATATTCCCTGAAAGAGAAACTTAAGTCAAATGTTTTTTATGTTCAGAGTTAATTTAATGATTTGGTCATTTGCTTGAATTTTAGGTTCCTGATTATGTCACTGTAATAAAGCAACCAATGGACCTTTCGTCTGTAATCAGTAAAATTGATCTCCACAAGTATCTGACTGTGAAAGACTATTTGAGTGATATTGATCTAATCTGTAGTAATGCTTTAGAATACAATCCAGATCGAGATCCTGGAGGTGAGCATTAGTGGATTTTTTTTCAGGGGCTGGAATGGGGGCTGCTGACCCCCTTATTGAGGGTTAATTTTATGTCAGGTGCTATATTATAAACATTTTATATTCACAGTGCCATTTAATTCTCACAACAACCTTACCCCTCATTTTATAGTTGAGGAAAATTAAGTTTAGAGAAGTTTAAAAAGTTATTCAAGGGCCGGTCCGGTGGCACAGTGGTTAAGTGCGCACGTTCTGCTTCAGCAGCCCAGGGTTCCCTGGTTGGGATCCCAGGTGCAGACATGGCACCACTTGACACGCCATGCTGTGGTAGGTGTCCCACATATAAAGTAGAGGAAGATGGGCACGTATGTTAGCTCAGGGTCAGTCTTCCTCAGCAAAAAGGAGGATTCGCAGCAGTTAGCTCAGAGCTCATCTTCCTCAAAAAAAAAAAAAAACTTATTCAGAGTCACACTCCCAGGAAGTGGTAGAGGCAGAATTTGAATACAGGTTTTTTTCATTCCAAAACCTCTGTGTTTATCAACAATTACATGATATATCCTCTAATGGGACACAAAAATTGCATAACAACTTAGCTTGTTTTCTTTGTTATCAGTGCTCTTTCTCAAAAAGTGGAAAAGTAAACACTTCTCTGTAATAAAATAGGTTTGAAAGGATTTTCTTGGTTAAGACCATTATAATTTTTATTAAAAAAGTAATGCAGTGTAATACTTGGTAATAATAATATTTTAAAAACTAAGTCCCCCATTTACTTTCTCCAAAGATGAACACTGTTAAGTTTGGGGATATTTTTCCAGCCCTTTTCTATGCACATACTCATTCCACCCTTACCTACTCAGTCTATTAATAAAATTTATAAAGTAAGAGATTTTTTAAATGATATGATATATTCAGATATCTACATATTTGATATAAACTTGTCCATTTCCAAAAAACATTCTTTCTCAAGTGCTTCTTTTCCCTAGCTTTCTAGAAATTGTTTTATGGAGGCAGTGTCCTTAACTCTTTCAGTGGATAATATGTTTTTTAATAGTTGTGTTTCCTGCATTAACTCTCTCCTCCAGTACATTGGCTTTTGGTTTTTATAGTCATGTGTCACTTAACGATGAAGATACATTCTAAGAAATGGATTGTGAGGCAATTTCATTGTTGTGTGAACATCATAGAGTGCACTTACACAAACCCCGTTGGTATAGCCTACTACACACCTAGGCTATATGGTACTAATCTTATGGGACCACTGTTGTATGTGTGATTTGTCATTGACTGAAATGTTATGTGGTGCATGAATGTAAATTGGTAGTACTTATCAATTAGATTGATTAGCATAGGAACCTACTGAGAGTTTCTTCAACAGTTGAGAAATCCACTATTCTTCCCTTCCCAGTCCTCTGTCCCTCCTTCCCTGGCTTTTCTGGATAATTTAGAGTTCTGGAGTTAAACAATGGAAAACAGGCCACCAAGCTGGGAACACCTCTTAATTGTAGAAAGAAGGAAGCATTTACCCTGGAGGCAGAGGGCTTTTTCTGTTTCATTGCAATCATGCTGCTGCTGCTTCTCTTTCTGTTCATTGTGACAATCTAAAATTACTTTAGGGCCGGCCCGGTGGCACAGCGGTTAAGTTCGCACGTTCCACTTCTCGGCGGCCTGGGGTTCGCTGGTTTGGATTCTGGGTGCGGACATGGCACCGCTTGGCACGCCATGCTGTGGTAGGCATCCCACGTATAAAGTAGAGGAAGATGGGCATGATGTTAGCTCAGGGCCAGGCTTCCTCAGCAAAAAAGAGGAGGACCGGCAGTAGTTAGCTCAGAGCTAATCTTCCTCAAAATAAAATAAAATAAAATTACTTTAGACCAGTGGTGTTCAAACTTTAGCAGGCATCAGAATCTCCTAAAGGACTTGTTAAAATACAGATTGCTGGGCCCCATCTCCACAGTTTGTGATTCTGTAAATGTAGGGCCTGAGAGTTTGCATTTCTGAGAAGTTCTTAGGTAATGCCAGTGCTGCCACACTTCGGAAACCAATGCTTGGATGTGCCCTGCCTGTCTTCAGTCCCAGATGCCATGTTAGAAGCCCCCTGCAACATCCCATCTGATATGGTAGCTATTGCTGTCAGCTATAACCTGGGTGTGAATATTGCAACCTACTGCCCTGTGAAGGGGGCTGATCCAGGCATTCAAGCTATCTGCCTCTGCATATCCCAGTTTACAGTACTTGTATTCTGAGTTTAGTATTTTTTCCAGTGTTTCCTGTGTAGGGTTGCTCTTTCATTGTCGTTCAGTTTTTCTGTCAATGTTGTACCGTCCTCAGTATCTCTTCCAAAATTTTTTTCACATCCCTTGTTCACATTAGTGAACTGATAGCCTTCCTTACTGTTTTTGTTGTTATATTGTTGTGTTGTTGTCTGGTCTTGCTGTTGTTTGATTCTTATATTTTTTTGGTATTTCAAAGTGATCTAGATAGGACAGAGCAATCAAACTGTTTGAGTTTACTCTGCTGTATTCAGTCAGATGTCCAGACGTCAGATTAAATACCACCAAAAACAGAATAACACAGTTCCAGTAACTTACTATTCGTGGTAAAAGTAAAAAAGAATTGTAATGACTGCACTCTTAGCCCAATATGCTGAGTGTATTTTTGGTAAATTATTAAAAGGAGAAACTTTAAATTGTATTCTTTAATCATTTCTCAGATCGTCTTATCAGGCATAGAGCCTGTGCTTTAAGAGATACCGCCTATGCAATAATTAAAGAAGAGCTTGATGAAGACTTTGAGCAGCTGTGTGAAGAAATTCAGGAATCTAGAAAGAAGAGAGGTAGGAAGATGATTTTTCCTGAGAAAAAGATGCTTCTGCCTTTTAATCAGTCATGTAATTGTGAAATCAGGAAATTTGATTTGATATCTCACGTCTGTTTATAAGGTTGTAGCTCCTCCAGATATGCCCCATCTTACTACCATGTGATGCCAAAGCAAAATGCCACTGCTGTTGGTGATAAAAGGTCAGATCCAGAGCAGAATGAAAAACTGAAGACACCCAGTACTCCTGTGGCCTGCAGCACACCTGGTAAGTGTGCTTGGGTAATTTTTATGTAGGGGATTGTAACTTTATTCTCTTCTAATGCTGTTTACTTTTTCCCTCAGTTTCCTTTGTTTATATTGGTGTAGTAAGTTACATTGATTTTGTTAATATTAAGACAACTTTGCATTCTTGAAATAAATCCAGATTCCTAATGATGTACCACTTGCAATCCCGGTTCACCTTCATCTAATTGTGGATGACTTGATTTGAAACTGATTTTCATTTCCTATGAATCCTGGTGTATTTTCTGTTTCTCATTATTCTTAGGGTATATCGCCACAGGGTACCAACCCAAACGCTGTGGGTTTTCCTGAGGACTCCTTTCCTTGGCAGGCTCTGAATTCCAATTTTTGCTCTTTAAGCCCCATGAATGTCAGACTCTCCTCAGCTTCTTAGCCTCTCAACTATTCATTTTTCCCCACATATTTGGGTGTCATAATTCCTCAATGCCTTGTTAGATCTCCAGTGCTTTTAAACAATTTTTAAAATTCTGCGTGTGTATGTATTTTACTGGAGTTGGAACCTTGCCTTATTGTATTGCAGGTTTATCCATCCAGGGGTAATTGATTTGAAATAAAGTCCTTCTTTTGTAAAACTGGGAGAAGGAAGCTGGGTAAGGGAGGATTAGAAAGGCAAACCAGCAAGAGACTTCCACTGCCAGAATGCTTTCGGTCAAATCAACTTTAAGCAAGTATATATATGGAAATTGAGGACATGAAAAATGACTCCCTTAAAACAATCCATTCCTAGCTATATACCCAGCAGGACTGCATACATTGTGTTCGTGAAAAGACATATATAAGAATGTTCGTAGAATCAATATTCATAATAGCCCAACACTGGGAGCAACCCAAATGCCCATCAACAGTAGAATGGAAAAATAGGGATTATTACACAACAGTGAGGATGATTAAACTTCAAGTACTGCAATAGTATAGATGAATCTCCCAAACATCATGTTGCTGTGTGGTTATACTGTGTCTAGTCTAGAAAAAACATTTAATCTCTATATATCTTAGTTTCTTCCTCTCTAAAATGATGTTATCAGTAGTAAGCTTGATCAGGTTAAAATGAAATTTCAATGAGTTAGTACACATAAAGGGCTTAGAAGAGTTCCTCTCATATGACAAGCACTCAACAAGTATGGGCCATTTCTAATCTTGCCCTTCCTCCAGTTTATTCCTCATACTACTGCCAAAGTGATCTTTGTAAATATAGACATCAAACGGATAACATAATTGCCCTCCTTAAAATTATTCAAGATTTTAAAAAAATTATTCAAAATAGAATCCCAACTCCTTAGAATGACAGGTTATTGCCCACTTCTCTACCTGCTTCTCACCGTATTCTCTACTTTTGTTTCCATATTCTACCATACAAAAACTACAGTGATTTCTCAAACTCTCTATCCTCATATCTCAGGAGCTATTTTTTTCGCACTTACTTAGACTTTAGAAAATTGTTCAATATTCTTTTATCCTTTTTCTTTACATTCTTTGAAGCCCAGTTGAAGAGAAAAATTCGCAAAAAGTCGAAGTGGTACTTAGGCACCATAAAAAAACGAAGGAGAATTTCACAGACAAAAGATGATAGCCAAAATGTCGTGAGTGACAAAATTGAGAGTGATACAGAGGAAAATCAAGATACAAGTGTAGACCACAATGAGACTGGAAACACAGGAGAGTCTTCAATGGAAGAAAATGAGAAGCAGCAAAATGCCTCTGAAAGCAAAATGGAATTGGGAAATAATACTTCGAGTAATTGTAGTATTGAGAATGAACTTGAAGAATCTGGGAAGATTACAGCATGTACAGAATTGAGGAAAGATAAGATTGTTTGCAATGGAGATGCTTCTAGCGCTCAGATAATAGATACTCCTGATGAAAATGAAGCAAAAGGTAAGTCTTTCTCAAGTAAACAACTTACTGATTTTAAAAGATGTTTACTCAGAGTTCTTAAGCAACTAATTACCCTCTCAATTTCTTCCTTTTTACGTGTCTTTCATAGTGCAGGGGTTAATTAATTAGGAAAAAATACCATTATCTTTACTTAATGACTATTGAGCTAGTAAATCACTATTGTTAAAAGCAAACTGTAGCATCAAACAGACGTGGATTTTAATCCCTAGTCCATAGCTTAGTAGTTTTGGACCTGGGCAAGCTTCTTGACCTATCAGCCTCAGTTTTCTCATCTGCAAAATTGGGGTAGATAGTTGCAGGATAATGAGATATTTTGAGGATTGAATAAATAATCTATCTAAGGCATGCAGCTAAGTGCTTGGCTGTACAGTTTTTAAAAGCTGGCAGGATACTGTCTTATTTTTAAGCAAGATAAGCAGTTTCCTGTGATGCTTGCTGAGTGATGTAGAACTGTTACTTACCTCTGTCATTCCTCTATCCCTGTTGTGGGTTAAGTCCAAGATTATTTACATTTATTTCAGTGATCCTGCTCCCAAAGTTATTCATTTGGAATTGTTGTCTGTCTGAATCTTCCTGGACCTTTGGAAGTAGATTTGTTTGGTTTTTGGAAAAGCCAAACATTATTTAGTCTTACAAAGCAAAAAGAGGGGTAACAATCACTTTATTTTGGTCAAAAACAAGTATTGACTAAGTTAGAGACTGGTTTTTTCCAGTGGCTTATATGCTGTAGGTAAATCTTTTTCAAGGACTTCCTTGAAATGAGTCCTAGTGTGAGTAATAGCAAAATGGACTAGGACATAATAGCCTTTCCAGTGTGGACATTTTAAATGTTAGTCCTCCAGCTATATAATTTAGTATGTTTTGTTTGGGTTCAGAGTTGTTTTATTTTTCTTTTATCATTATCTTTTTTCAAAGGACACTATTTAGTGGGACAGGTAGTTGTTTACATATCAGGAGATTTGGGTTCTTGTCCTGGTTTTTACAACAGCTAGGTATGTTGGCCTTAGGAAAGTCTCTTCCCCCTTCTTGGCCTCATTTTTCTCATCTGTCAGTGAGTAGATTGTTAGAGATCAGGGATAGGCAAACTTTTTCTGTAAAGGGCCAGATAGTAAATATTTAGCCACATAATGTCTGTCACAACTACTCAACCGTGCCAGAAAATCCACATTGACTTGTGTGTGTAAAATAGGTGTGGTTGTATACTAATAAAACTTTATTTATAGCAGTAGGCCAGATTTGGCCTAGGGTATTAGTTTGCAGCTCCTATTCTACGTTACTGAGGTCCCTTCCAGCTTTTAAATTCTGAGTCTTATGCCTGAGTAGAAGGATCCCCTAAAATTCTCAATTTGAGAAATACTTTCTCAAATGTCCTTAATTTTTCAGTAAGTGGCAGCATCTTAATCTTACAGTGAAGTCAATATGCCAGAATTGGTGTTTGTGTCTTAGTAAATATATCCTGCTATTTAATCTGTCTAATATTTATTTTAGGCACTGTAATGTCTGTGAACCAAATAATAGTCATGTACTTTTTCACTGTAGAAATGTGTGTTTTGCGAATGACTCGAGCTAGACGTTCCCAAGTCGAACAGCAGCAGCTCATCAGTGTTGAGAAGGCTTTGGCGATTCTTTCTCAGCCTACCCCCTCACTTGTTGTGGACCACGAGCGATTAAAAGTACGTAAAGTGAAATTGTAATGCTTTCATTGTGCATGTTAGTAGCATAACCCACCAAAAGAGAGGCTGTGATAGTACATTGTGTCAATTTGGCATGCAATAAATAATCATCTTTTATGAAAGGATAAACTTGGTATGGAATAACTTTTGTAAAGGCGCTGGTTGGAGATGGCTAGTGTGTTTATATTATAGTTTTTAACATACTTGTCTACATCATTGATCCCATAAATGTTTTAATGACCAGTTCAGTTGGTTTTTACTTAACCGTAATGGCATATTTTTGTTGACTGTGATATGTAATGATGCCTGCTAGGGCCAGACTTGAAGAATCACGGAAATCCAGTGTGGTCATTTCAGTTGTGAGAAAAACACTGAGCAATGGAAAATTTTTTTATAAGAGAAAGAACCCTGACCTGGTGAGGCAGTTCACCATTTATGTACCATCTCTTTTTTTTTTTTTTTTTAAAGATTTTATTTTTTCCTTTTTCTCCCCAAAGCCCCCCGGTACATAGTTGTGTATTCTTCGTTGTGGGTTCTTCTAGTTGTGGCATGTGGGACGCTGCCTCAGCGTGGTCTGATGAGCAGTGCCATGTCCGCGCCCAGGATTCGAACTAACGAAACACTGGGCCGCCTGCAGCGGAGCGCGCGAACTTAACCACTCGGCCACGGGGCCAGCCCCAATGTACCATCTCTTTTTGTTTTACATAATGAATTAGTTTTAATCTACTTGTAGTACCATCAAATACCTTGCAAAAACTGCTTTTTTTCCTATTAGTCTAATTTGAGACTATTTTTTAGTTCGTAGAGATTTATGGCTAGAAATTGAAATTGGCAACCTGCTCAGCTATAGTTTTTAGAATGGGAGTTACCCAGGGCTGAGGCCAGGATGATAGAATACTGATAGCTAACAACGGCTAAATGTCAGAGGCGCTATTAGAGGCTGCCGTGTCTTGTCAAATGATTTGGTCTGCCCTCTCTCTGGCTTATATGCTAGAAATTCCAAGAATCTTCAAAATTAAAATAATCTCGTCTTGGGGAATTTATCTCTTAGGTATGTAAACACTCATGTTTTCTTTTAGAATCTTTTGAAGACTGTCATTAAAAAAAGTCGAGAGTACAATATTTTTCAGTTGGAAAATTTGTATGCAGTAATCAGCCAGTGTATTTATCAGCATCGCAGGGACTATGACAAAACAACACTTATTCAGGTAAACTAATCTATATAATAAATTAAATGATTTTATAAGAATTTTTAGAGACCATTTTTTCATATGTGGATTATGGATTATTTCTAGGTATAGCTGAGTTCCATAGTTTTTTTAATCTAGCACTTCATTAGTTTGTGTTTCTTTAATAAAAAGTGGTCCTATAGTATCAGTAAACTGTGAAAAATCTTTATTTTATGTGTGTATTAATGAAGATATATGGCTCCTTTTTAAGGTAGACTTAAGATAGACCTATTGGTCTTTACTTAATCTTGCTTTATAGTGAGCGTTAGAGTACTAACTTTTAAAAATAGATATTGAATGATACCTATATAGTATAATACATATATTACTGGTACCTACTAATATGTAATATGAATAGGATTTAGTATGCTTACTAAAGTATACTATGGTACCTACATAATATAATATATGTATGTAATACTAGTGCCTATAAAATATTAATATCTATTAAGTGCCTTGATTATAACTATTTGAAATTAACATAAGATGAACACATCTCAGACTCATTTCAAAGGGATTTAAATAATGAAGTCCCATCAGCAATATCAATAGATGTGATAGTCTTAAATACTGAACTAAATTTCTATTTTCACTGTCAGATATATACATGGGTAATAATATCCTTAAGGTTGTTTACTGGGAAAAAAGAAAAACAGCAATGGAGTAATGTTTCTTTAGCTTTTTCGATATTGAAACTTACTATTTTTCCTTCCTACCCTTTATCTAGAAAATGGAGCAAGAGGTAGAAAACTTCAGTTGTTCCAGATCATGATGTCATGGTATCGAATATTCTTTATCTTCGTTTCCTATTTAATCCACCTTTGTCGTGTCCACATAACTGATGCAAGATGAAATCCTGCATCTTTAAGGAAAAGATTAAAATAGTAAATAAAAATAAAAATATTTAAACTTTCCTAGTATTTATGTACATATGTAAGATAAATTACAGAGATAAGTGATAAATATTGGCAGTTGGATTGAACAAGGCAGAGTAAGAGTAATGCTGTGGCATATCAGTAGTTGAAGTGTGGCCAACTCGTAATGAAGTTATTTTGATAACTAATGTTTTATGGCATTTACGAGTAATTAGTGACATCGACATTTTCTGTTTTAAGCACTTTTAATTTTATCCTTCCTAAAAATAGTTTATTGTACCAGACTAGAAATTTACTTAACCATTGTGTCTTTGCCATTGTTTTTGTTGTCTTTGTCCTCCTTGGTGCCCATCTCTGATCTGCCTTTAGCTTCCCCTGCCCATTCACTTAAAAGCCAATGTTCAAGTCATGATTTGCAAAAGGACATGAACAACTTCTGGCTGCACCACAATTCTGTACTTGACTGTTCAAAATTAATGCTTTTTATATAAACATTTTTCTAATCCTGATTTGGGTTAATAGAAGTTTTAAATATTTTTTGGGTTATTTTTATGATTATACACACAACAAATGTATTAATAACTACTTTGTTAAACAGCTTTTTAATACCACAAAGTTTTTATATTTGCAAACTGTTTATATCATTCTAAATTTATGCTTAGGTTGTATTCTATAGATAGCTTCTATATACAATTATATAAATATAAATATTATAAATTTTGTATTAATGATACCAAAAATATATGTCTTTCTTAAAGCAATAAAGCCATTCATCACCATGCATATTCTTTTTTTTTTTTTTAGGAGACATTCTAATATTAGTTTGTAAAATAGCTTCTGTTGGAAACTTGTTTCAAAGGAATAGGGAATAATGATCTCATATGAGAGATTCCGGATTCTAATACAGGTTCAAAGTTGAGCTGCCTTTTGTTATTGATTTATGTGGATATTGTATTTAAAACCTTCTAAAACCGAGTAATTCAGATAGCTTAATTAGTAGATACTATCTTATGTAACGCATAAAGCAATGTCAGTCACTGGAAACATTTAAGTACTATGTGTATATTCCTGAATTCACACACACACATATATACTCATGTGTATTGAAGTTTATTATAACTTATTCCAGATGCATCTTATGTAACTAGGATTTCATTTTGTATGTATAGCTTCTGTAATAAATTTTAAAGGTGAAAATTGCGTCTCAAAATTATTTGTTTCTTCATTATTTTAAAATGTCCTAAAGATAATTCAGTGCAAAACAAGTGCAAAAATCTGTTTCATTACTATTCATAATTTAAAATGCTGTTCACACTGGAATGTTTGTATGGTATATGTTCTCTAGCTACAAAGACTAATGTGTTTCCTGTCCTTTTCATGACATACTGTCAACAGACGTAGGAAGTAATATGTCTACATTTCTATGTAGACTTTCAAAACCATGCTAAAATTGTAAACCTAGAATGTTTTTCTCATTTTTTTGCTTAAAAGTGCAGTCTATTGTAAGTAGGCAAGAAAAAGAAATAAAAGGCATCCAAATTGGAAAGGATGAAGTAAAACGCTATTCACAGATGACATGATCTTACATGTAGAAAATCCTAAAGAATCCACAAAAAATCTGTTAGAGCTAATAAATTCAGCAAAGTTTCAGGATAGAAGATCAACACGTAAAAATCTGTTGTATTTCTGTACACTAGGAATGAACAATCCAAAAAGGAAATTAAGAAAGCAATTCCATTTACAGTAGCATCTAATACAATAAAACACCTAGGAATAAATTTAACCAAGGAGGCACAAGATATGTACACTGATAACTACAAAAATGTTGCTGAAAGAAATTCAATAACACCTAAATAAATAGAACGACATCCTCTCTTCATGGGTTGGAGGACTTAATGTTGTTAAAATGGCAATATTCCCCAAGCGATCTGTAGACTCAGTGCAATACTTACTTACCATAATCCCAATGGCCCTTTGAATTTTCCTAAATTCATAATGGAATTGCAAGGGACCCTAAAGAGCCAAAACAAGCTTGAAAAAAATTTTAGAAGACTCATACTTCCATATTCCAAAACTTATACAAAGCTACGTTAATGAAACTGTGGTACTAGCATGAAGGACAGACGTACTTATCAATGGAATAGCATTGAGAGTCAGAAGTAAATCCATATATCTATAGTCAATGGATTTTTGACAGTAGTGCCCAAGACCATTCAATAAGGAAAGAACAGTCTCTTCAACAAATGATGCTGGAAAACTAGACAGCCACATGCAAAAGAATGAGGTTGTACTTCTACCTCACACCATATACAAAAATTAACACTAAATGGACTAAAGACCTAAATTTAAGAGCTAAAACTACAAAATTCTTAGAAAAAAACGGGCAAATTTTTATGACCTTGAGTTTGGCAATGATTTCTTAAATAGGGCACCATAAACACTAGCAACAAAAGGAAAACTAGATAAATACAATTTCATCAAAATTAAAAACAGTCATGCTTCTAGTACAGATACTATCATAAAGAACTGTTAAAACTCAACAACAAAAAGAATCCAATAACGGATGTGAATGTTTTCGATGACAACAATTTTGAGGTGTTTGGTCAAGTATATTGGAAGATGCCCCTCTTGAGATTTGTCTGTTTTTCTTATGATTTGATTGGGATTCTGGATTGTTGGGAGAAAGATCACGAAAGTAAAGTGATTGTATCAAGGTTACATGTTATCAATGTGATTTATGACTTGATTGACCTTGATCACCTGCAGAAGTAGTTTCAGGTTTGTCCATTGTAAAATTGCCTTCCCCTCCCTTTTCGTGTTACACTTTGAAAGATTACTATGCACAGCCCACTCTTAAGGAGTGGAGAGTTAGGCTCCCCTTTGCCTTTTTGTTTTTAACTGATTCTGTCAGGGATCCCTGTAAATATGCACTATGGGATCAGTTGAGGTTATTTCAGACTCACTTGTCTTCACTACACGCACATGCACACACAGTACTTTGTTGCTCAAAATATTGCAATTGAGAGAGTGCTCCATAACATAAGGGACTTTGTTAGGACTTGAATTTAAGGTAACTACTTTTTGCTGAGGGATCCTGTGGGCGTAAAAACTCACTTTATATTAGGACATTAAGAAAAAGATTGCCAGTTTGCCTCCTAATATCCATTCTCTCATTCCTTGTAACAAAGTCCTGGAAATAAGTAAAAATAAATTAATTCATAAAATAATAAAAATTTTCCTGCTGAAAAATGTTTTCTTCCATTGCAGCAAGATGTGACTAAGTTCTGGCCAATGAAATACAAAGGAAAGTGAGCACAATTTCTAGGAAAGCTCTTTGAGAGCCCTCTCTGCCCTTCTGTGCTTCCTTGTACCTGCTGCCTGAAATATATATGTGTATATTATATAAATATGTAAAATATATATAATAAAATATATATTATACAAATATAAAGTGGCTGTATATATATAATGACAAGGAACTCTAGAAGCTATCTTGAACTATGAGGTGACCTTAAAGATGGAACGCAAGCCCTACTTCATAAAAGTAGAAAAAGAGCCTTGCTCATGATCACTTTAGGGGATTGCTGTTCAAGCCCTTAACTGTATCTGGACTTACTTGAAAGAGAAATAAACTATCTTGTTTAAGTTGCTGTTGTCGAGTGGATCTCCATTATTGAGAAGGGACTGCAAGAAAGGATACATAAAGAGTTGGGGACAATATTTTTGATGCTTAGGGACTCAAAAGGTCTTATTCAGGACTTGCTGTTTATAGGAAGTAAAAGCTGGAAAAATAAGAAGACAATGCCTCCTTGAGCACACAGGTAGCGTGATCAAATGGACTTGAAAGCTTTTCTTGGATGGTCTAGAAAAGTGACAGGCTAGAGGAAGGAGAATGAAAAGGAAGTCTTCAGAGGTGTTTTTGTAAAGGAAAGCTTAGTAAGGCCTTGTTTGGTAATACAATGCACCTTAAAGATAATTCCGGAGTTGTAAAGATAAACTCTCAGGGGATCGGTGGGGATATTGACAGCGATAGAGAACAGGTGCCAATTTCAGGGATGAGTTGGGTACACTTGGAAACATCTTGATTTTCGGGTAATATAGGGATGCTGGAGAGGCAGAAGACAGTATAGTCTTCCTAGTCTATATTTTGCACCTAACTTTCGTGGTAGACTGAAACATGACCATCCAAGACATACCTTCATCCTAATCCTGGGAACCTGTGAATGTTTCCTTTAGTGGCAAAATGAAAAACGAGAGCGTTTTTTAGAAGTAATTAAATTAAGGATCTTGAGGTAGAGTGTCCTGGATTATTTGTGTGGGCCCTAAATGCAATCATGTATCCTTATAAAAGGGAGACAGGGAGACTTTAGAAGAGAAGGCAATGTGACAGTCAAGTCAAGGATTGGTGTCATGTGGCTATAAGCCAATGAAATGCTGGCAGCCAGCCTCCAGGAGGTGGAAGAGGCAATGAACAAACTCTCCCTTAGTTCCTCCGGAGGAGAGCAGCCCTACCCACACTGGTTTTGGCCCAGTGGGACCGATTTTGGCCTTCTGGCCTCCAGAACTGAAGGAGTTGTGGTTGTCTGGAAGTACCAGTGGTGAGAAAGAACCACCATTTTAAGTCACCTTGAGATGAGTCTCCCTAAGAAGAAGAGGAAGTTGTCATGAGAGTAAAATGAGGAAGGAAACGAAAGAGGTTCTGAATGGATTTTATACGGAGGGGGATTTCTCACCTTGTGGTAGGAGTGCTGCCAGTTTCAAAGCAAAAGGAAGGAGAATAGCTTTGCTTGTTTTTCTCTTGTTTTAATCAGGGAGAAGGGCATGATTGGAATGGGGCAGGACAGGTTGCAAAAATACTTCTTCAAACTATTCTTACTAAGGCCACTAGTGACTGCCATTTTCCTAAATCAAATGTACACGCCTTAGTCTTTTTCATACTCTGCCACTCTGCATCCTTCCGTGACACAGAGCGCATCTTTCTTGAAGCGAGTTTTCTCCTGCCTGCCGTGACGCTACGCTCGTGGGTTTCCCTCCGGAGTCCAGAAAAGAGCTGCTCTGTACTTTTTTTCCTTTTTGATGACCTCCCTCTACTCTTAGTCTTCATGTTGTTCTCCAGAGCTTGATCCTGAGCTCTCTTCTCTCTGCGCTCTTTCTCCAGGTGTGGTTCCCTGCTCTCAAGGCTTTAAATACAGGTATTTCAACTGTATATCAACCTCTCCCAAATTTATATTTCCAGGCCATATCACTTTTCTGAACTACAGACCAACACATTTTGATCTTTCCTTGAAACCTGCTGCTCCTCCCAAGTTCCTCTTTTCAATGAATCTACCATCTACTACCATCCATCCAAACGCCAAAGCCAGAAATCTAAAGCTTCCCTCTCTCTCAACTTCCAATCCATCACCAAGTCCTGATTTTCTGCCTCCCAAATACCTCTCAGATCTCTCCATTTCCTCCCCGGCTCTCTCAACCCACTATAATCACATGCCTGTCCTACAGCAAGAGCCTCCTGATGAGTCTTGCTTATACTCTTGCCCCCACCATCCATTCTCCAACCAGTAGCCAAAATATTCTTTTAAGAAACTCAGATCTGATGCCATCATTTGCTCGTGCTCATTAGTGCTTCCCATTGCTGATGCTTGTTATGGCTCCTGCCTACCTCTCAGCTTCATCTCCCCACTTTTCTCCTGGCCCACAATACGCCACCCATGATAGCTTTTTTTCAGTTCTTTTTTTCTACCTCTAGGCTTTTCAAAATCCTCTTCCTATTCTTCATTTCTCAGCATAAAAGTCACTGTCTTGGAGAAGTTTTCCTGACCCTCCTCAATCTAAGTATTTCCTATTTTAATCTCTCATTTAATCCCCAATATTCTTACATGACACTTTTCGTAATTTGTAGCTGTATATTTTATAATGTTTATTTGTTTAATGTTTGTCTCACCACGAGACATAGGCTTTTTAAGGTCAGGAGCTAAGTTTGTTTTGTTTTATGACTGTAGATCCAGCCCTTACCATAATAGGACCATAGGTGACACTAAATAAGTCTCAGTTGACTTCATGACTGGGTAATGGATAAGGAGAGCAGAAGATTAAGGAGCAGAATAGGAAGATAGGAAGTTAATGGAAAATGGAGGCCCATGGGGGCTATGGTGAGGGGAAGCCCACACTTCAGAAAAGGAGAATGGGATCTACCTAAT